ATCAGTCAGTGAGACTGCACTTTGACGACCATTAGACTGAGATTTGCGATTGTAAATGTGATGTCACGTCTGCATTTGCTTGTGCGCATAAAAATGAGTTAAGGGGAAACGTTACAGGAATGTGTGCAGCGTGTCATCTATGTGTCTTTAAATGTAAGAGTATCAGGTGAGTGTAGTGATGTATGAAACGAGATTTGTGCAGCAATCTCGTTTTAGTGGGTCAGCTGCCTGACCCAGATGTCAACTTTTCATGTACTCACAGGAAACCTGACAACACGCTCATGAAGATGCTCCCTTTGAGCATCTTCATGTTCTTATTACCTCAAAATTCACTTCATGCATCTTCATCCTGATCGTCATGAATTGTTTGTTTTGCCCTTTCTACACACATCAATGTCCATCTTTCTTTATGTTAGACTCCTGCTGCCCCCCTGTTGCTAGGGTAACAGGTATGTTGCCACTGAAGAGGGGCGTGGTGGTCCTGCCTTGCCTCGCTGGCTGATTTAATGAGCTCCTGTGGGAATCGGACTCATCAGAATCTCTGAGGTGCGACATAGCACGTTCTGCTAAACAGATGCACCAATGCTAATAATAGTGCAGTGCCTTGGTTTATATACAGGAAGTGTTAATTTAAGAAGCTAGAAGGAGACCAAAGGCACATGAACGTTTCTGTGATGGGTTTTGTAAGTTTGTACCCAACGGAGAAGGTTTGGGAAGGTGGTGGGGAATTCTCTCCATGATCTACTTTTCTGCACCTACCTTTCATCTTGACAGTCAAGAAAGATTCATTTTGGTCTCGGCTTAGAATTGTCCATTTGTAAAAGATGGTAAGAGGATGTAGGTGTAGAAACAGATTTTTTGTTTTCTGAATCAGAAACCACATAACTGAAGTCAGATTAGTTGCAGTCACCTTAAAAAAGCCGTGGGATACTGGGCTCTTAGTAATTACAGCAGGACCATTCACACCAATAAGTCCCATGCAGACCATCACTTCTGCCTTCGGATTCACAGAGATGCTCTCTGACTGCCTCATTATGAACACAAGAGCAGAGCTAAATTTGCATAAAATGCTGATAGATAGGCATAGAAGAAAAGACGCCACTGCTGTTGCATAATGTAGACCATTTAACAAATCAGTGCTCAGCTGTATTTGCAGAATTGCGTTCAACATAAAAACTTTAACTGTTAGCAGCTCAAGGTGTAGCATTGTCAGCTAATCCTTATAGAAGTTGTTAGCATACTGGCAACGGCACTCCTGCCACGATCAGCTGCTGCAGAGCTGAAGGAAGACAACGTTAATTATAATGTCGGTTCAGTCCAACATTTCAGAGCTAAATTATAATGCTAAGATTTCTGCCTTCATGTGTGCTTTGAGGATTTTTCTATAAGGCAGCAGGAGCTCAACAGGTTGAGCGGGTTGTCCTGTAATCGGAAGGTTGCAGGTTCGATCCCGGCTCCGGACAGAGAATTCTGCTGTTGTGTCCTTGGGCAAGACACTTAACCCACCTTGCCTGCTGGTGGTGGTCGGAGGGACCGGTGGCGCCTGTGCTCGGCAGCCTCGCTTCTTTCAGTGCGCCCCAGGGCAGCTGTGGCTACATCGTAGCTCATCACCATCAGTGTATGAATGTGTGTGTGAATGGATGAATGATACACTGTAGTGTAAAGCACTTTGGAGTCTTTACTGTGAGAGGCGCTATACAAGTGCAGGGTCATTTATCATTTATTTATCATAAACAGCAAATGTGCTACATCACTTCTGTCGCGGCACTTCAGAAGTGTGTTGATCACCCATTAATCCAGATCCTCTATGTTGGAGCGGAGAAACACCTAAAACATGCAGGACAGTGTCCCTCCAGGACCAGGATTGGACATGACCGGTCTAAACCGTTTAATTATATTTTCATTAAATCACTAAATTGATATTCTAACAAAGTCATGTATGTACCGGTGGTGTTTTTCATGAGTTGCTTAAGAGTGGAAGTCAGAGTTTAATGGGCCATTCCCTTCTGTACCGAGTCGGCCCGGGCCGGGTAGCCCCAGTCGGCCCCAGCCTGGCCCGGTTGATTCCACACATCCTTGCCTTAAGCCCATGTGGGCTGATTCTACCCACCAATCAGAGGCTTGCTCTAATGGAAGGTGTGAATTTGCTGTCAGCAGTGGGTGTGTTGGCCCTGGTCGGCCTGAAGCAGACCCCCTCGAGAAGAGGGCTGAGAATGAGCCTTGGTTGGCCCGGAAAAATACCAGGCCACCCAGATATGTAAACAACCTACGCTACCCGGCCCGGGCCGACCCGGTACAGACCCATGAGAGTTCTGAGCTGTAAGTGAATGCAGCATTTGGGTTGAGACTCTGTCACTGTCCATGGTGCTTATCTGAGCAGAGTCTTTTAAGCCAGGCTGCCTGGATGTTTGTCATTTCAAAGATGATACTTCAGTGGTAATATTGAGGAATAAAGTGTTGAAAACCACTTTGAAATATAACAGTTGGTTTATCCTGACAATATATTTAACAATTTAGAGCATGTTTTCCGACTTAAGCATGCACTTTTACAATAATCTTTGTTGTTCCCATCTTCCACAATGTCACTTGTGACTCACTAACTGTGAAGATCAAAGAGGACTACATTAGCAGGAGTTTCTTTGGCTCTGAGCCAGGCTTTGATCAAATTTTACTCACAATCTGGCCTCTTGGAAGTCATTCAGTGGAGATCTTAAGTGGACCACTGAGTTTCCTGGTGCTCAAAACAAAGAGAGCATCAGGGAATCTGTACAATGTCTGCAGTCCTTTTCTCACCAATGGGTATTTTCTCTTCTCTGAGGACACTTCTTTGTTCTTGCCGATTAAAGCATTAATCCCAAAAACAATCCAGTGATGGTTAATTAAGTAGCAAAGCTTCTTTTATTCAGATGTTGGAATTTATTACCCTCACTTTCTCAGCACCGCACAAGCTGAGGTGTTGTGAGATTCCTTTTGGGAGGCGGTCTGATGGTGCTTGGCTGGGGGAGTTTAAAGCTTCTGAGCAGCCAGTATGTGTGAGTTCATTTTTTTTATTCCACTGTAAAGCAATAGTCAGTAGGGCCCAAGGGGGGAGGCGGGGGGGGGGGGGGGGGGGGGGCAGATCTATCCGGAACCAGGCCCAGATCCAGCTGTCTTTAACTTCACAGTATATTGACGGTGCACCAATCACGAGACTGGGCCCCTCCAGGGACCAGTGAGAAACGTGGGTTATTTACACGTCTGTCTGTGGAATCGCATGGCCTGAACAACCAACTACTGATTCACACTTGTTTATTATGTAAGAGCATGTTGAGAATGGTGGCTTGACATGTACGGCAGTAGATTATTCAACAGGACCACTTAAAATATGTTCCGTCAAACAGTTTGGAATGCTTTAATGTTTTTATTTTGACTTTTACAAGAAAATTCTCTCAGTGAGGTGGAAATGAAGATCTGTCTGTGGTCAGTCTGTCTACACAGCATCTTAAAGTTGGTGTTCGTATTTGTGTGGCTGTGAGCTTCCTCTTGCCCCTTCTTACTAAGCCCCAAAGTGTTGCTACGACAACCCCTTGCGGCCCTTGCTGCATCGCAGCAGCGCTCAATGCCAGCACTCAGGGAACCTCCTCGCACTGGGAAGGCTGCATAAAATTGGGATAATCGCCGTCGATTATGAGGAACAATGGGCTGCCGCTTCTGAAAGATTCATTCATCCTGGAAAAGAGACTGTGGAGGGGTGGAAGAGAAAGGGGCGCCTCGGTCCCTCCGCTGCTCTCCCACGGTGGGCACAGGCATGACATCAGTGGCCTGAAAGAACTGGCATTCTGGACATGTCCATTACCCTCCCTCCTCACTATGTCCTCGCTCCCCCTCCCACCCGAGCCCCCTCCTGTCCTTTCTCGCCGCTGCCAGTTTGGATGCGCCACTTGGCCGGGCGAGTAGGGGCCACTGCCACTGTTTGCGTGTGAAACAAAGGGCTTCAGAACGGAGAGAGAGAGGAAGCAGAGAGCTTCACATGGTCCCAGCCAAGAGCAGGGATGGCTGCCTCAGCCTTCCCCTCGCAGGCCCCTCTTCTGGCTGAGAGGTGCTGGTGTGACCCCAATACCCCCTTATCCTTTAGTGTCTCTCTTTCTCCCTCCTGTAACCCCTTCTTCTCTCTCCCAGTCCCTTCTGGTCATCTCAGAACTGCATCCCTTTCCCTCCAAGAGCCCTTAGAGTGTGTATGACGTGTGGAGTGATTTAGGATGAGTGATTTCTCATGACAGAGAGCGAGAGGGTGAGGGAGAGGCAGCATTCCTTGGCTTTTGTTGTGCGATTGGCCATTTGTTTGAGGAGGAAGTAGCTTTCCAACACGTTTCCTTAATTAGAATAATGCGATGCTGCTCAATGCCATGTGAAGTCCCATGCTGCGGGGAGACTAAAGGGGAAATCAGCGTGACAACGTCCTCACATGAATCACATAAGAGAGTTTTGCTTTGGACTACAGTGCAGTCCATAGATTGTATCCAAAAGTGGGATTACACACATTTTTGTCTATGTGAGACTTGAATCTACAGCATACTGGTTACACTGTAAATATTCATATATTTAAAATTTGAATCTTAAAGCTTCACAAACAAATGGATATGAAATATTTATCCCCTCTCAGCAACTTCCTTACTTATTTAGCTCTATTGTCCACGTTGTCCCATTCGTGCTCGTCTCCATAGCCTGAGATCAGTGCAAGTCTCTGGAAGTGTAATCTCTTGTGGGATTACAGAGTATAGGTTCTCCGAGTGATTTTACCATTTAGCTCGTGTGCTGACCCCTCCCTTTATGTATTTTGGTCATGCATTTACTCCCAAGTTTTGTCAGATGTGTGAGTGTGTGTGTGTGTGTATGTGTGTGTGTGTGTGTGTGTGTGTGTGTGTGTGTGTGTGTGTGTGTGTGTGTTGGTGAAGTCAGAGGGGGTGAGGGTGGTGGGTGGTGGGGGGTGGGGTGTCTATGGAGACATCAGGACGGGGCACCTTAGGTTGCTCGTGACTGGTCCTGTCGTCCGGACCGCGTTGACGCGCTCTTCCGTGGATGCCTTTGGAGTTGGCGGACAGCTGAGAGGGGTTTAGCAGGACTCTGGTGTTTCCAGCACCTCGGACCTTTGCTGCTGCCACCTAGCAAGAGTTCTGGATGGAGCTTTTGTGATCCAGCTGACACTTTGTTCTGCGAATTCCCTTTCACTTACCAAAGTCTGGAGGTTTGGTCACCAATCTGATCTCCTCCAGGAATGAAGTAAGTTCTTTTAGTTTCAGAGTTTTCCTCGATGAGCCGTATTTTCCTCACTGTCAGCTGTTTATAACGTAATTCCTCTACTTTATTACGTTAACGGAAGACTAGAACTGAATAGTATAGTTTTGTTTGGTCAGCTGTCATGCTGTTTTTAAATGTGCTTTCAAAATAATCCAAGCAAGCAATACTTTTTAAAAGATTTGTTTGAAATATTATGCAAAGAAAGACGTTTTTTGGGATATTTTGAATGCTATCTCATAATATTTAAAAAAAACATTTAAAAATTGCAATTTCTAAATTTTGTTGCTTGTGTCCAATAAATGCAAACATGCAGCTTCAAAGATTAATGGGTTATGGCATGAAGACGCCGTTTCTAAGCTAATTAAATAAAAAATCAAAGCCAGATATTTTGTATAACATTTCTTTAACATAAAAGCCCCACACTTTTATCACCCTTTGTTTTAAAGTGATGCTAAATTATGCAGAGTTTGCTAAAATAGTTCTTGTGCTTCTGCTCAGCCATGCTCTAATTTGTCTTGGTCTTGGAGCGAGAGGTGCTAATGAGACCATCTTGACAGAAAATGACTCACTTCCTTTCCCGAAGCTAAAAATAAGGCAAGAGCGAGTTAAAAAAAGGAACGTTCAACCATCAAACATCAATATTCTTAAATTGAATACTTTGTACACGCTGACGTTTTGTTAAATACAAATTAGCAGATATGCAGTAAAAGGATTTATTTGGTTTTTGCTCATTTTTTCTGCATTTCACACTTTGTTAAATTAATAAGGTGAGATGGAACCAGCCCATCTGTGAGCCTGGAGGGTGGCCAGGTGGTCTTCCTATAGTCTAGCTTTCATCTGTTTTTAGATGCAAAGCTGGTGGAAGAGTGTGTAAGTGTGAGAACCTGTGTGTGATGTGTTCCCAGGAAATTATCAACTTGTATTTTATCGTAAACATGGGTTGGTTAAAGTTTGTCAGCATCTTTTGCTCCAAATCCAAATTTAAAAAACAAAATGCTTTTTAACAAATAAAGGTATTATAGTTTCAAATCAACAAAACATCTAAATTACTTTATTAATTAAATTAAATAAACACATATGATAGATTAAAACAAGTTAAATGTGTTTGTCATGAAGTGGTGTTGTTTGGATCGGACCCAAACACAGGAGAGCAGGCACAGACAGCAGACTGCCAGGTAAAAGGACTGTTTTCTTAGAAAAATGCCAGGTAGGATGACATGGCAGGAAGACAAGAAGAGGATCTGACACGGGGGGGGGGGGGGGGGGGGGGTTAAATACATACGGGGCAATCAGGGAAACAGGTGGGTAGGTAACGAGGGGCAGGTGAGTCAAATTAGCACTTAACAAGGGGAAACCTGACAGTAACCCCAGCCCCAACCCCAATCCAAGGGTTGCTCCTGAAGCCCAGAGCAGGAAAGAAACAAAAACAATAAAAAAGGCAGGGGCAGGAGCTCAAGATGCTGTGGCTCCTCAGAGGGAGGCAGGAACTCTTCAGACAGCTCAACTGGGGCCTCTGAAAATGGCTGGGGCTTTTGAAGATATCCGGAGCTTGGCGTAAACCTCTGGGTGCAGTGGCAGAGGTGCAGAGAGGCATGTCTGACCACCCAGGAACACATAGGACGGTCGGAATGCGATCACTGTTTCCTTCGTAGTCAGATCCTTCTGTCATGAAGTGGGAAGTGGGTTTAGACCTAAATGCAAGAGAGCAGGCACAGGAAGCAGATGGGCTGGTAAAAAAAGAAAAGAAAAAAAGATTGAATAGAAAAATGGCAGGTGGCATGATGAGAAGACGAGACGAGGATCTGACACAGACACGCACAAACAGAGGGTTTAAATACACAAGGGCAATCTCAGAAACAGGTGGAAAGGGCAGATCAGTCAAATGAATCCAACCAAAGGGAGACGAGACAGAACAATGGGCAGAAGAAGCAGATCTGGACAGTATTGGTAAAGAGCTTTCTGCCAGAACTGTGATACATTAATTTTAATTTTCATTTGTCACCTTCTTTATGATTATATGAGCTAAACATACAGTCATTTCAGAAATTGTATCAAAAAAATTAACTTACTGAAAAATAAGTGAGGTTGTACTTTTAGTGTTTGTGACACAAAAAAAGCTGGATTTGTTTTACTTACATTATAAAAAAAATATCTTCACTTTCTTAATCCTATCAGCATCCTGGAACTTGGTAAAGCCTCTAGGTGGTGATAAATTTTCACCTTATTTCATACAATAATTTTTTTCTCTTACATTTTGCTGTATTATTTCAAAATGTTGGATTGCATTTTCTGTTTATTATGTAATAAATTCTTATAAATGTAATACTTTCCTGCATACTTTTGTCTCCATCGAATAACTACTCATTTTCTGAGTTGGTGTTCATTTACGGTGTCGCTATCCTAACGTACCTGACTAGCATCAGTTGGTTTAGCCTTTGATTAAAAGTTTCCTAATATTAATTTATTTCTTTTTAAAACAAGAACACTGTTTGTACAGACGGCTACGACCCTCACCAACGTAAGAGACAATGAACTTTTAATAAACTTGATGAGCCAAATGTGAAATGCATGATGGACAAGAGCAGCGATTTTCCAAATGGCTTCCATCTGTCAAATGCCAAAGTAACCACGAAGAATTTTAGGACTGACAGCTTGGCAGAACTTGAATGATACACATAATTTATTATGTCCTGCTTACTGTTTAATGCAGCAATGCACTCGCATTTCTGTCACTCCTGGTAGAAAAAACAAACAAAAAAAACTTATTTCTCACAATGAACATGCTTAAACACACACACACACACACACACACACACACACACACACACACACACACACACACACACACACACACACACACACACACACACATGAGAGAGAGAGAGATTGATAATTCTCTTATTAAACGGCTTCCTCTATGTGATCTTTCTGACAGTGCCAACAGCATGCCTAAACAAGTGGAGGTGAGGATGCACGAGAGCCACCTGGAGCCCATCGAAGCCAGGCCCCAGTCAAAATGTGCCAAAATCTGCTCCAAAATGTTCAAGAACCTGTTGCTCACACTCACCGTCCTCGGTAAGTGACCTCTCAGTTACTGTTTGTCTCCTTCAGGGCGCAGTGAAAGGTAGGAGCGTGTTCAGACCTCCGTAACTGTGAGCAGCAGCTTCCTGGTAATTTGTGGATGAGAAAACATCAGTGGTCACTGTACCAGTCAGTAGGAGGACTGGGTATATCGACCTTCCTCTGCACTGTGCCACCTGTTGCTTTCACCCTCAATAAATAAATAAATAAATAAAATAAATAAATAAATAAAAAGCAGGGAAGAAATATTGATGAAATTAAAAAGATGTGACAATTAAAATGCAGATGTTTAATGGACACTTCATTAGATTGATAAACCAGCTTATGTAGTGTAGTCAGAATTCACGCTTCGGAATTAAATAGCCTGAATACAGACAGGTAGTCAAAACCAAAATAATTATTTACATTAAAATAAAACCTGCCAGAGAAAAGAAAATACAGTTGAAAAGATGAGTAAACCAGAAGCTGGTGTGCAGGGAAAGGACAAATCAACAATAAACCAGTTTTTAAAGGTGTGGTTCACTGAAAACCCATTTTAATGATTATTTCTGATTATGAGATCATGCAGGTCGAACATGAAAATCTTCTACACTCATCTCCTGCATTAGCTTCTGATAGAAAATAGACGCTGAAACTCTAGGATTGAAAAAGCCTGACAGATCTACATCACACTGTCCCCGAACGTTCATTGACTCGCAGATCTGGACTGGCAAACGAGAAGGCTGTTTTTCTAGCATCCAGGAGTTCAAGCTAACTGTTAGCATTAGCAAGTTCACCACATGGCAGAAACTCCTACAGGTTAGTGCTATTTGTGGAGATAAAACATCATCGTTTAGAGTCAGTGGTAGAGTCGTGCCTCTGTTATCCAATCTCAGGTGAGATGTCCAGATATCAGCAAAAAAGCCCAGCTGATGTGGGTAACTAGTAGTTCCTGGAATAAACATGCAAACTCATGTGTGCAGGACATCAGTGAATCTAAAAAATCAAAAGATTAGGAACAGAATGAATCAGTGAATCATACAAATATATAAATGATCATTGAGTATGAGTAATCAGATGATAACTGTTAAAATTAATGCAAAAAGCATAGTTAAGCAATGCTGAAAATATGACCGTAGTAAGGAAATTATAAAACATTAAACAATGCAAAACTATGAAAAAGTTCAAAAACGGGTACAAGGTTGCCAGCAACGGAGCCTGATACACACAGGTGTCATCTTTAATTTCTGGCAACAATGAACGTGTTGCAGAACAAAGCTTCCAACATAAGTAAAAACATTTAAAATGTAAATACCTGATTAATGTGTAAAACTCTGTGTTTTGCTGTCCATCAGTCTGCAAAATGTTTTGCTAGAGCAAAAAACCTAATAATAATAAAAAAGAAGAGAAGATGTGATGGTCAGAAAATGTGTCTTAAATCCAAAAGGTACAGCTCAAACTCTAAGAGCTCCACTACTAAATAAGTAAATGAGGTTCAGGTAGTTTGAATGGATTTAAAGGGTCATTCTTCCTGACAGGACCACGGCAGCATGGGAACGTCGCATCAATACAAATCACAAAGGCTTCTTTAAGACTCACATTTCCAAAAGGAAGGTTTGCTGACTCTACAAGCCTAAAACTGTGGTTTTGATACGTGATAGTTTTATTAAATGACTTAATTTACCCGGCACAATGGAACAACTGAATTAAGTCCTCAGCAGACTCAATTTTCTGATTTTTCAGATGCTAAAGCAGGGAATAGGTCATTTTGTCCTTCTCAACTGAAATAAACCTAATCTTAAGCCTGTTTCACACCAACTGCTGAACCGATGCAGTCTGGTTTCCGTACAGCTTCTGCATGGATCAAAAATTCTTGAGTTCAGTCAGAGAATCCCCACTGACTGCAATGCATTGCAGATCTGGCTGCAGAGTTCCAGAAAATGTCCACATGGAATCTGTTTTTTCCCGATGCAACATGTGAATTGTTATGAAGTCAAATAAATTGCATGAGCCAGACAGGAAGTGAGACGTGTTTCAGCAAGGTACATCCAGGTTGTTTCAAAATAAAAGCTGTGTTGAAACGAGTGGTTGACTGAAAATCCATTTTTAATGATTAATTCTGATTATAAATGGCCTGTATTTGTATAGCGCCTTCTTAGGGTTTTACAACCACCCCCCCACCCCCACCCCAAGGCGCTTCACAACAGTCATTCACCCATTCACACACAACATTCACACACTGGTGGTGATGAGCTACGATGTAGCCACAGCTGCTCTGAGGCGCACTGACAGAGGCAAAGCCTGCCAAACACTGGTGCCACCGGTCCCTCCGACCACCACCAGCAGGCAAGGTGGGTTATGTGTCTTGCCCAAGGACACAACGGCAGCATTCTCTGGTCAGAGCTGGGATTTAACCTGCAACCTTCTGATTACTGAACAAGCTGCTCTACCTCCTGAGCTACTGCTGACCCAGTATATATAATTGGTTACTCTAGGTTTTTCATGCAGGTTCAACATGAAAATAGTCTCCTACACCAATCTCCTGTATTAGCTTCTGATAGAAAATAGATGGTGAAATGCTGGGATTTGAAAATCCTCACATATCGATGTCATAATGTGAACTTACATTCACGGCCTTGCCCATCTTGACTCGCGCCTGCCCACAGGCATTTTATTTTAGTTTTTTCAGCAAGGAGAGAGAGTGAGGAATGTTGTGGTTATAGTGACTTTGCAAAATGACTGAAAGCGTTCTGTTAGCCAATCAGAAGCAAAATATGTGCATATCATTAATAATAATGAGCAATCCTGCTGTTTTCAGCCCACCTCTGCACCAGCAAATGTCTGCCTCTCAGAACAGGAGCATCATAGCTTTTTTTTTTCATTTTTTACATTTTTGACTTACACTAGAGAACACTGAAAATGTATCAAATAAATGAGTAAACCACACCTTTGAATCGTTTTTGCCGACTTTAGTTTTATTATTAATGACCTGGATATTAGATTACAGTGTGTGATAGTTCAGATAATTTTTAAATGCTTTGAGTCAAATTTCTAATCATTTGGTGCTTCTGTGGCAGCAGATTTCAGGAGACATTCAGCCTACAAACCGCAGTCGGTGTAAATATCCGGAAGCCGTTTGTAAACCACCCCGCCTCTGTAGACATTCGGTCATCCTTCATGAGAACTTTGCTCTTTTTGAGGATTATGGTTTTATCTTTAAATCCCACCATCCTCTTTAAAGATGTGACAGATGGTGACGAGTATAACCTCAAACAGACTTTGTTTTACAGATGGATGTCAGTTATTCTGATATATTTGAACAAAGCACCGAATAATTATTTGCTACTTCATTTAACTCTTCTTTTGACTTTTAAATTGGAAGATAATTCTGCTTAAAACTTCCCTCTCATCAGGTGTGATCTTGGGAGCTGTGGCAGGGATGTTGCTTCGTGTTGCTTCTCCAATCCATCCAGATATTGTAATGGTGATCGCCTTTCCTGGAGACATCCTGATGAGGATGCTGAAAATGTTGATCCTGCCACTCATCATCTCCAGTTTAATCACAGGTGCAGTGGAACTGGTCACCATCGAATGCATGTACATCCTTTCATGTGTGCAATGGTATTGGATTGCTAGAGCAAATACGTTTACTATGTCCATTTAACATAATTGGGTGCAATTACATAATTCCACTAATGGTTTTCTTATTCAGTACTAATTCCCTCAGAAATGAGTCAACATTTCCATTTGATTAGAAATGACCAGGTAAATATGATTTTGCTTATTTTGGCTGCAGGTCTGGCCGGTCTGGATGCCAAATCTAGCGGTCGCCTGGGAACCAGAGCTATGGTCTACTACATGACAACTACTGTTATTGCTGCTGTTCTGGGAGTCATCCTGGTGTTAGTCATTCACCCGGGCAACCCCAAACTGAAGGAGAATCTGGGCGAAGGCCAGGAAAATGAGGATGTGTCTAGCTTGGATGCCTTCTTCGATCTGATCAGAAATCTGTTCCCAGAAAATCTGGTGCAAGCTTGTTTCCAACAGGTACTCGACACACACCCTCTGCTGTTGGTTATATGTAAGGGTTAGTCGTGGTCGTGAATTCGAGCCATTTCTGTAGACTGGAATTGAAAAGAAGTTGGGATGTGGGCAAAATATTATTTCTAATATTCTCAACTTAATTTTGCTTTAAATTTACTAATTGGAAAATTATTCCGCTTTCACCTAATAGGTGAGCACTGGCAGCCTAGTTTTCCTCTGATGGCAAGCTGGACTTAAGTCAGGATGGAAATTAGATACATAGTTAAAACATAGTTTTATGTTGGTGAATCGTGTTAATGGTGGAAGTTTTTAGACACATGGTAGTTTTATATTGTAACCACAGTCTTGGACCCTGTGCATACATTACCAGGTTCCTAACACAATAAAGATCTTTTTCTATGAATTGACCTGTCATTCACACAAGAGTGAAGATAAATACTTCCCAAAACAACTCTTTCAGCATCTCCGACCAGCGTGGAGATTTGGGAATTCTCCCTTGACAGCATTTGCTTGAGAAAGTAAATAACCAGAGTTTTAGGTTTCACATTAAACACATTCAGACACTGCTTTATGTAGAAGACTAAAATGATTTGGGTAACTACTGATGTATTCAGGCTTGGAATGTCTATGAAAGCACTTGACATTCTTTTAATGAAAACGAGTGTGTGGACCCAAGTCTTCAATGTATTTCTGCTCCTAGATGGGCAGAGGAGTAGCCTGGCAAGCCAGACTAAATAAATGTATTATTTAAGCAAGAATTTGGTCTAGTTCACTAGGCTAGCAGAGGAGGGTATTAGGTTTAAAAAGAAAAAACCTGGCTAGGTGTGTGCATGGCCTTAGTTCTTGGTTTACTCATCTGGGAGTTTCAAACTGCCTGTGGCAACTAGCTGTGCTACAATGCTAACACTTGTTTGTCAAGAATTAAATATTAGCAGATGTTTGGTTTCTGGTATGTTTGTTTTTTCCTCCACCTTTGACCTTGCTACTTTTAAAAATGTTGCAATTCTCTTTGCGCAATGTGCTTTAAAGCTGTTGTAGCGAATCTGCAAACAAGTTAGCTTTGAACACAAACATAGAACACTCACCCTTCCACTCAGGTTTCACCTGAGATGCTTTTGCAGGAACCAGAAACCAGATTGAAATCGGAGAGTGCTAAACACCAGTTGCCTTTTATTTGATCTAGACGACTTTAATTTTCCATCGCATCAAATTATGTTTTTGTTTTTGGGACTCCTCTGATGTTATTGAGTCGCGAACTTCTCACACTGTTCTGTTGCTTAATACGCAAGTGCATAATGAGTGGACGACCCAGGGAAGCGCGGGAGTTTGGCAAGCCCGGAAGCAGCAGTCCAATAGTTGCTTTTGGTCTGAATAGTGTTATTAGCGGAAGTTTTTAGACAAATGCAAAAAAAGCACACATTGTTTTAAATCTCCTCAATTTGGGATGCACCAATATGAAAATGTCGGCTGATGTTAATATCACTTTTCACCCAATAACCGATATTTACAGTTAGGAATACCAGTATTGATGTTGATATATCGTGCATCCCTATCTATACAGTAATGTATCTGCAGCTGTATGATGTTAGGAGGTTAACAGGCATGAAAAAACAATGTTTTAAGCTAAATAGCTTTCCAAATTTGCTGTTGCAGTTTTAAACTGTAAAAAATGCATCCAAAAATAAAATATGTAGAAATGGGTTAGGTTTCAGATGTTGACTTTAAATGAATAATTCTTTTTTTTATAGATCCAAACAGTCACAAAGAAAGTGGAAGTTGCTGTCCAGGAGGAAATCAATGCCACCAGCGTGGAGGGCCTAGTGGCCAACATGACCAAGGAGCCTCAGATCATTATCAAAAAGTCCCTTCAGTTCAAGAGCGGCATGAATGTTTTGGGTCTGTAACGCCATTAAACTGATAATACTAACATGCACCAAATGCATATTTTTATTTGCTTCATGCATTTTATTTGTGCTCAACTCTTGCTACACTCTAAAAAATGAAATGTTATGTGACCTATTTTTTACTAAACCTCATCAATTATGTTATGAGTAATATACATTGTTATACATGTTGTGGCAAGTGAATATTACTCTTTACATTAAAGCAACTAGGTTTGGTGGAACCAAATTTACTTGCTTGTGTAAATTCAACATCTTATTTCTTAGAGTGTACCTGGCACAAGCAACCATCTACTCAATCATGGATTTTTTATTTATTTTGCTATTGTGACATTTCAAATCAAACATACCACACCAGGCAATCATAAATATGTTTAATAATTTTCTTAGAAAATTGTTAAGATATACAGGTCATCCTTCAGAATGTTTTTTTTTCTCCATGATCTTGATGCTAAAGTCAGCTCACCCTTGAACTCTCCTGTTCCCATTCTGACACATGTACAATCTCCTGCCACAGGTCTGATTGGTTTCTTTATTGCATTTGGCATCTGCATGGGAAAGATGGGCGACAAGGCCAGACTCATGATTGATTTCTTCAATATCCTCAATGAGATTGTGATGAAAATTGTCATCATGGTCATGTGGTCAGTATCATTCATGGCTCTACTCAACTCATGTGAAATCCATTTAACCTATTTATCAGAAAAGATGCTTTGCTTCATGTCAAATTGTTTCTCATAGAAAAACATGGATTTAGACCACTTACAAGGTTCTTTCAACCATGCTCTCTGCAGCTTTATGTTGAAGTAATGCAATTTATTTTCTAACCCCGATAAGGTACTCTCCCTTTGGCATTGCCTGTCTGATTTGTGGTAAGATCATCTCCATCCAGGACTTGGAGGTTGTAGCAAGGCAGCTTGGCATGTACATGGTGACTGTGATCATTGGGCTAATCATCCATGGAGCGATCTTCCTGCCCAGCATCTACTTTGCTATCACCAGAAAAAATCCCTTCACTTTCTTTTTGGGCATCTTCCAGGCCTGGATCACTGCTCTGGGAACAGCTTCCAGGTCAGCGTTGGAGTAGAAAAAAAAAAGAATGCTCATTATTGTTTTTGTGTACATGCAAATGTTAATTATTTTCTGTTTTTTTTTTTTTTGTTGTTTCCAGTGCTGGTACGCTGCCTGTCACCTTCCGTTGTCTGGAAGAGAATTTGGGAATCGACAAGAGAGTCACTCGTTTTGTGCTCCCTGTCGGCGCCACCATAAACATGGACGGAACTGCTTTATATGAGGCTGTGGCTGCCATTTTTATTGCTCAGATGAACGGCGTCATCCTTGACCCCGGTCAGATTATCACAGTCAGGTCAGAAAAACACTTGGCCTTTGAACTTGGATCATTTTAATTTACTTTTATATTTTAAATTAATTTAATTTATTTATGTATAAAAGACATTACTGCCACCAACTAGGCTGCCCAAGGTGTGGTACAAAATAAAACCATAGACACTACACCATGCTATAAGAAAATGTCATGTGACACATAAAAAGTAATAAAAAAGCAATAATAAACAATGAGACAAAATGTCCCACAACTTATAAAAACAATAAAACATTGCAACAGATACAAACCTGAAAAATGTCAATAAAAAACTAAATATGAAAAGTGAAACAACTGAGAAGTTAAACAGATCTAAAATATTGTGTCAGTGTATCTTCAAACTCTAGACAGTTGATGATTTTCTGATATCTAGCGGTAGTTTGTTCCACAGTCTAGGGGGCCAGCACTACAAAGGCTCGTACCGCTCGGGACCTAGGCTCCACCAATAGACCCTTATCAGCAGAGTAGAGGGGTCGGGTAGGGACTTGTCTTATTAAAAGCTCTGCAAGATAAGATGGAGTTGCTCTGGCAAGAACCTGGAAAACATTTCATTGTAATGCTGTGCTCTACAAGTGACCACTGTAAAGTATCCAGGACTGAAGATATGTACTCCCCTTTTTTTTTACCCAAAAATTTAACCTTGCAGCAGCATTTTGCACCATCTGGAGTCTAGAGATTGTAGACTGAGTGATTCCGGCATATAGGAAATAAATCCAGCTTTGACAGTACAAATGTAGGTGTCACAGTCTCTAAATTCTTTCTTGAACTCATTGACTTGATTCTAGACAGGTGTTGAAGCTGAAAGAAGCGAGATCTGATTACTGTATTCAATTGGGCATCAAATGACAGAGCAGAGACCAGTTTCACACCCAGGTCAGCGATCACAGTTTGTTCAAAGGGGCCCAGTGACATGAGGGTGGCGGTCATTGCGAGTGAAAACTATGGCCTCAGTCCTATTGTCCTTAAAACACAAGAAGTTAGCTGCCATCCAGGAACATATCTCATGTAAACAGTCCGTCAGAGGCTGAATCATGCCCAACAACCCTTGACTTAGTGGCAGGTAAATTTGACAGTCGTCGGCATACAGGTGAAATTTTGCATTGCGCTTCCGAAACAACATTCCTAGGATGAACAGTTAGACGGCAAAGAGCCAAGGGCTTAAGACAGACCCTTAAAGAGCCAGTCACCCAATGCCACATTCTTACTCAACTCCCACTTCCTGTTTGAAAAATGCAACAAATGCTGTTGCCTAGCAGACCGAGAGGGTGGAGCTGCTAACAACTACACACACACACACACACACACACACACACACACACACACACACACACACACACACACACACACACACACACACACACACACACACACACACAGGCTCACAACGAGATTGTGACATCATATGGTACCAGCTAACGTTCTAGGGTACCTCTTAGCAATAGCAGTGGCAGATTTAAATTCAAATGCAGTGCAGAGTTTTTACCCGACAACGGCACAACACTGACAGTTTTAGGCAGAAAATTTAAATTTTAACTAGAATGTACTAAAGTGCAAAACTACTGACTGCACGTGTCTGCAGCATGATTCAACACACATTTACATAGTTTATCAAATAAAATAAGTTGATTTGGGGGTGACTTGCTCTTTAAGACACCCTCCACTTCAGAGCATGAAGTGGATGAACTGAAATGGTCACCATTGAGAATGAATCACGTCGAATGCAGCAGCAAGACGACGTGGGTTCAGAGAAAGGGCTGATTGCACCAAGAGGATCTCACGGATGTTCTTCATTCCAGAAAGAAGGAACTAAACTTTTCACAGTTTTCTACTGAGGCATCCAGAGAGTTATTCACATTAACAGGCTCCAATGCTGAACTCAAGGTTTTAAAGAGACCCCGTTGATTGCCCAAAGCTGAGGAGATTATGCCTGCAATGAAGTTTTTTATTGCACCCTTAATAGCCTTATTGTAACTTTCCAGTTTACTCCTGAGTACGTTACTGGAGACTTGAAGCCTATCTTTTTCCCCCATTTCCTGTCAGCCCTCCTACAGTCACACCTGATGACTCTAATGTCTTCAGAGTGCCACTGCTTTGATCCAGACCCAGATTTTCTAATAGAGTAAGGAGCAATCTCATTGAGGACATAACAAGTAACCTTACTATAAATGTTTCTGGAAATATTAGTGCCATTGTCTAGAAAAAGCTACCACAAATTCAGAAGATTTCTCTGCATTCAGAAATTGAGATAAAGTAGGTGGAGCAGATTTAGACACAGTGTAAGCAGGTACATTACAAACATCAAAGCACAGTGATCAGAGAAAACAGTTTCTTCCACATCAACACTTATAGCTGGAATACCAAAAGAGAGAACTAAGTCCAAGGTGTGTCCGTACTTATGAGTTAAACCTGTATTCCACAGATCAACATTAAAAGAGTCTGTAATTTTAAAAAATCCTTAACATGTGGTTTGTCAGAACAACACACATGAATGTTAAAATCTTGTAGGATGCCAACATGATCATATTTAGGCTAAAGAATAGCCAGAAGGTCAGCAAAGTCGTATAGAAATTTAGTGTTAAACTTTGGAAAATGGTAGATAAGAATTCCTAGGGATCTAGAGGCTGTACCAAAGTCAAATAAGAAAAATTCAAAACTGTCATGAAGTGCCGGAGAACTGAGTTGTCTACAGTTAAGACAACTCCTGACAATACAAAGCAACCCACCACCCTCACCCGAACGCCTTGGAACAATAAAACAATACAATCATCAGGTAATAGTTCAGAAAGCACTCCTGTGTGCCCCAGAGGATTGAGAAAGGAGAACTGATAGCACCTAGGCAGTCCTGTGGGATGGATTGTACTGCATGTTGTAAGTTTGTGACCAGCAGCTCAGCTCAGCTGTAAAGCAGAAATGACTATTTTTGTAGAGGTTTCTTTTGAATTTAAAAGAGTCCATGACCCTTCTGGTGATAAATCAGTAAAGGCCGTAAGCTGAGAAGCACGTGTGGTCCAAGTCGACCAATTGAGAGACAAAATGTTCAGCGGAGGACATAAAACAGCCTGAGGAGGCAGCAACAGTGTCACGCCTCATACTATGCAGGAAGACAAACAGCGACCGCATGCTCTTCGTCATCAAGTCGGAGCCAAATACCCTTCCTCTTAATGGAGTGAGTTGAGATGGATGAATCGTCACACTGACATTTTTATGGCACATAAATCAATGAACTCTCAAATTAAACATCCCATCTCCCACATCTAAGGACCCACTCTGGTGCTGCTCTGGCCCTTACATAATGAAAACAGAAAGTGAATATCAATATCCATATGTAGCTGTGGGATGCATCCATTATATTTGAATGCCTGGTGCATGAAGAGTAGATGTAAATTGGACGTTTGATAGATTTCGGTTGAGGGATGTGATTGAGTGCATCTTCTTCCTGTTGTTTTGCAGCCTGACAGCTACCTTGGCCAGTGTCGGTGCAGCCAGTATTCCCAGCGCCGGGCTGGTGACAATGCTGTTGATTCTGACTGCTGTCGGCCTGCCAACCCAAGATATCAGTCTGCTGGTTGCTGTTGACTGGCTGCTGTGAGTCTAATAAGATCAAAATTCAAATTGTGGTTGCACATTGATTTTCTGTCAAGATTTTCAAGCGTCTGAAAAACAGGTTCTCGTTTATTTCTAGGTCATAAAAAACATAATTTATACTTTCTTTCACCTCAGGGATCGATTCAGGACCTCGGTGAATGTGGTGGGCGACTCCTACGGAGCTGGAATCGTGTACCACCTTTCGAAAGCTGAGCTGGATGAGCTGGACGCGCACATGGCTAAATCTGATGACATTGAAATGATGACAAAGAACCAGTCCTACTACGATGACATGAAGAACCACCATGAAAACAATTCCAACCAGTGCGTTTTAACTGCAGCTGCTTCCACAACTGCTACTGCCACAGCTAACAATTCTATCTTAGTAGATGAATGCAAGGTACAATTAATGCTTTTGGACATAGAGACTTCTACGTAACCCTGTTGTTGCATGCTCACCTTGCACCTTTGCTTTGCACTGAAGCGCCATTGCACTGCTTATTTCACGAGTGAACAACCGTTGCATGTGAATGCTCCGTTCACTCTTCTGGAATAGCAGCTAATGTGTTCAAAACATGATCAACAAAAGGACATAAGGTTAAATCTTTTTATAACCTTGATAATAAAAATATTCCAATATTGTTTCTATCAGACGATTTTCTTAATTTGATTGATATCTCAATGTGATTGTCCTCAATCTGACAATCAGCAAGTTTCATTTGCATATAACCTCAAATCTGGCAGATTTCACGAATTTAAGGTATTTTTTTATTCGTTTGCTCTGAGATTAAAAATGCAGACAGAAGTGTTACATCTATTTAACAGTTTTTTTTATCGTAACAAACATCTCTCAAGTGCACTGAATTATTCAGTTTCAGGGTTTCACTTTTTTAATGTAGTTCTACTTATTACAAGAGCTGCAAAGACATATTTGTATCCAAATTATCTCAACTATTTATATTTAACTATTTAAAAATCTTACATGACAGTTTAGCTTATTCCCTGATAAACACACCTGACAAGAGGAGGTCTGACGAAGAGGCCTATCATTTATTAAAGGAGGAAAGTTGTTGCTAGGCATCATAAGTCAGTTTTGAATATATTTTATAGGAAAAGTAGCATCCTCATTTTAAACTCTTCATTTATGGACCATTTGCATTGAATACCAACACAAAAGCTTGCTGTTTCCAGGCTATGTTTCATGTTTTGTCTTTTCTTTTGTTTATGCGACTCACACTTCTAACCTTTTTGCGCTTCACTGTAGAATGCTTGCAAACACCACTAAAACATAACACATTTACTTTGTAGTGCTTCTACCTTGTAACAAGTCTTTTACATATTTTGAGCTAGTCTTCTCTTTACATTTGTGCCTCTTTGTTTTTATTTGACATGTTGTTGTGTTTGGGGTCATCAGAAATGTGTATTTTTTCCCCCAGGTCCGTTACCATAAGCATGAACGTCACTGGAAGTTCCTGTTTCCTTTCATGCTTTTTGCATGTGTAATGGGTATAGAGGTAGCAGAGTCTTCTTTGTGTTCATTTATTTCTTGCTTTCCAGTTTATTCTTCTGTCAACGAGTCCTAGAATCTGGTACCTCGATACCCATTACAGTTCTGGGGGCTTGTCCAGGATAACTGTTACACTCAATGTGAATTTTTAGTTTTCTGTATCTATACCAACGGTCAGCAGAAGAAAATTGCAATATATTAGAAAAGTGTGAAATTAATTTCAAAAGTAAGTTAATTAGTTTGGTTCAGCAATTTTTAGGCCACACAATTAAAAAATGAGGAGGAAGAAGTTTTATTGGATCTCATTTTCAAGATGAAGTCATGAAGCTCCAGGAAGAAAGTTGAAATTTTGAGAAAATGTTGGAATATTTTTTCCAGAATTTTGTGAAAAAAACAAACTAAAGAAAACTGTTACCTTGGGACGAAAATAAGAATTAAGTACAATACAGACCTAGCTCAAAGACCTACAATACCCATAAAGCCATGTGCAAATGAACCAGTGACTTTACACTTCAGGATAGTTTCAGTAAGCTGTGAAGCAATCAGAATTGATGTCTGAATGCTAAAGGCATGCCTTGCAGTTCCATTCTCACATGTGGAGTGTTATAGCTTCTGCTATAACGCCACGCTTGATACCAAAACGTCATTGGAAATATTTTCAGATATGGAGACAGAAGTGTAAGTGAAAGGGGAGAGAGAAGGAAGGGGGAGGGGGGTTCACAAAAATAAACAACAAGAATCTGCTTCTAGACCTGCAGAAAGAGAGATAGAGGGGGAAAAGGGACACAAAAATACAACAAGACCAGTGAAATAGAACATTAGACAATTCTGACAATTATTCTTTATTAGAAAGAATAAACACCTGGGATATGTTAGCATTAGACGTGGATCAAAGAAATTCATGAGAACGTTTGACACTGCAGGCATCAGTACATTGAGACAAACTAGACTAGTTGCCTAGTAAGGATACATTTTTAAATACATAAATGATAGTAAAAAATGGTTTCCAGGCTGTTAAAGCAGACAAATTAAGCAAAACTCACAGTTTGCCTCCTTTTGTGCTCCCATGTAAGTCTCTACTGCCTCTATAATCACTTCAAGAAAATCCGTCCATCGGTTTTCAATCAGTGTTTTAAAAATTACATGCCTAAAATAAGCTGTGAAAAAGTCCCTGTTTGTGATGTCACAAATTGAGAAATGATAATAGAACCATCTTTCATGTTCAAGAGAGAGAGCTTCCGCTGGAGGAGCAGCGACTCTACACTGAGCCCCTCCCAGATATCAGAGCTTCTCAGCTTATAGCAGCCAATCAGGGTATGGGTGGGCGTGGTCAGCTCCATCTTTTTTTCTTTCTTAAATTGACAGAGCTCTGAAATGGCTTATTCTGGAAGTCACTGAAAACATCAAGAATTAAATTGCCCTACGTGAGAAGAATTTTGTATAAACACCTTCATGAAAATGTTTTGTGTCGACCATAGAACTATTATAACATAAAAATAAATCAAACTGTGTCCCCTTTAAAACCTTTTGGAAATATTGTCCAACTCAATTATCGCATAGGTGAGACTAGTAAATGTCATTAAGTATGTCTTGTATGAAATTGTGTGCTTTATTTTATTTGTGCCTTGGACCAGCTTTTTAGATCTCGCTGCTGACTGCTTGCAGGTAACCTCAGCCACGAACGGCTCTGCTGCGGAGTGCACGCTTGTCGAGGAGGAACCGTTGAAACACGAATAATGGCAGCACAGAGATCCCCTGCTCCTGGGCTCCACAAGCTTTCTTATCTGGTGAAAACAAATGAATGAATGAAATGTCACACGAACAGAACTACTAATTGTTTTTTTTAAATAGTTTTATTATTTTTATTAGTCCCTTTAAGGTTTTTGTATACGTCTATCTGACTGATGTGTTTTACTAATTCACTTAACTGTGAACTGATCCCAGAACTATACCTCACCTGTTAGAGCTCAGTCGTATCCTGGGTAGCAGAAACTTGCACAACGTACTTAAAGGTTTAGAGGAGGGAAGAAAATGTCAGATAAATCATTCTTAGCAATACATTGTGGTGAGGCAGAGCAGCTGTAGAACGCAGATGCACTGAAACCATTGTCCAGTTTTCATCACGATGACTCATTTACATCCAAGGACGAGTGGGAATCAGATCATGAACAATGATACTGAAAAATCCTGTTTACATCCACAATAGTAAAAGTACAACACATGCACAAAAGCACTGCCATTTTCCACCTAAATATTCTATTTTCTGACTTTTTTCATAATTTTTATAACAAACTTTAAATGAACATTCAAATATGACTCCCCATCCATGCAAACTAGCAAGTTGATCAATGATAGTATTCAGAAAAGGACAAAACACTGACAATATTTTTATAAGTATTATCTAAATGGAGTTTTAAAGCACAAACCATTGGATTGAATTAATATATGCCCTTTCTGTCTTTGTTGTCTTGTGCGAAAGAATATATTCCTTGTTTCATTCATTGAGGAACATTTTGAAATGATTTATTTGCATCACATGGAGAAAATGACACTCAAAAGCACGATCGAGTTAAATAAAGGGACCAAACAGAAACCAATCAGCACACAGGTCTTTGCGCTGCCTCTCTTATGCCACTCATGGAAAATCCTAGCATTTTCCACTGTGATGCAAATGCAAAAAGAAGAAAATCAATCTTTCATTATTATGCAATGACAACCACCTCCCTAATTCATGAACTTTTTTGAGCACTTTCCCCTTTTACCCCCAAAGTTACTTTACGATACCAATGAAATTAAAATGAAAGACATTTTATTTAAAATAAATAAGAATATAAGACCCCAATTTGAATGTAACAGATTATTTAGAGCCTAAGTAAAGTTTAAGTGCACAAACAAAGCTAAAAACCCAATGAGGTGAATTTCCATTCAATCATGTTCAACATTCTTTCATGTGAAAGTCACAATAGACTCTCACTTGTGTGCAACAACTAAAAGGCCTCATATTAGCACACTTTCTTCCAGCTTTGTCTGTAAAAGTAAGTTTACAGCAATTGTCTATGCTGAAAGAAATTTATTGATTAAGAAAATATGGAGCGAAGATTCCCTGCACAAAAAGTGGTTTCACACACTCCAGTGGTTAAAGCACAGCGAGCACTTATAAAGCACAAGCAGAACAGAGAGTGATGCAACATTTAGCTGTTAGATGATTGGTTTGCTCTCACAGAAAACCGTCATATAAAACTTTTTGAGGACGCATCTTGCTCTGCAAACCCAAAAATAAAATACATAACAGAATATTCCTGCCGCCAGAGCTCATGACTGTTCAATCAAACCCTTTATACTGCAGCTATGTGTCCAGATTAACGAAGGAACATCTCATTTAAGGACACTCAGAACAGAGTAAGGGACACGTGAAGAAATCTGCATAATGCCAAGCCTTCAGGTTCACAGAATATCTGCCTCTGATTGACTCACGACTCATGATTATGGCAGAAATGCTCATATTCACAATAAAACATGATTTGTTTTAGCCTGAGCGAGTGAGACTTATGATTTGTTTCCTCTTCGTCTTTTTGTTTCTTTAATATTGTGCTGAATTTTGCCTCGAAGGCGTTCAAATAACATAAAAAATAAAAAACACATTTTCAAGAAAAAGTAGGAAATTTAACGCAACACTTAGCACCGCACTCCTGAAACACACTTTAAGATATGTGGGAGCTCGGCTAACAGATGTGGCACATGCATGCTAAGTCGCTGTTCTATTAAACACACACGCACACACTGACACTCACAACCACCTGGGTGTTTCCTACTCAGACTCAGATAAAAATGCATTTAACACATAAAACTTAAAGAACAGTGTCATGATAATCTGTGATCAAGTTGCTGACATAACCTTTTAACTCATTCACTGCCAATAACGATAAAAGTCGTCATTTAAAATCCAACCGTTCACTGCCAGTGACAACTAAAGTCATCATTTGCGGGTTTTTTTTTTTTACTGTGGGGGCGTCGGAACGAGCCCCCGCACCGTGTGAACAAACATCCCAGCTCTAAAGCCGATCTTCATCCGCTTACGTGATCAGGAAGCAGAAAATCCATGTGTTAGTAGATCGTTTTGGGCCGCTGCTGTAAAAAAAAGTGAGGCACAAACCGGAAAAGCTTCTGCCGATCACAATTCAACAACGAATTACGAAAGCTCGGAAGGCGCAGATTCTTCCTGATGTAACAGGAGAGTCTACTCTTTGTTTAGTTTTGGCGTTGACATCCACCCAGAGCACAACGTTCTGTGACTCTTAAAAAAAACTGTAAAAACGCTGAGAAACTCTGGCAGCGAAGGGCTCTACTGATCAGGAAATGACTGGCAGTGAATGGGTCAATCTTGTGATTTTTTTTTTCAGGACAAATGTATGAATAAAATAATTTTCATTGCAGATTTCTTCATTTGGAGCGGTAGGAAAATCCAAAAAGTATTAACGAGTTCTGCCCCTGCACCTGTGCATGCCCGTCGCTCTGTAAAGCCACGTTAAAAAATGTAACCCAGTCCTTGCCAACACACCCGTGGTTTCCCTGCTGCTGCAGGCTTGACCGTCTGCAGCGAAACCGGTTTATCATCACTAAACGGCGCCGAGTGTCGGTCGACTGCTATGTTCAAACCCGTTGTTTTAGAAGCATGCATTAAAAAAACAATTCTATTGCTAATTATTTTTTGCACCACTGTCCTAAAAGCATGATATATTTAAAGTGCCTCTTTGCACTTTGTGTATATATTGTAGGTAAAAGATATTTTTTTCTTCATCTTCCTTTTTTGGGGGGTTGTTTCATGTCAGCGGCACTGGAATGGTATTTAGGTTTGTAGTTTCATTACCGTGGCATTTTTAATGTAATCATGTAGAGGAAAGGGGGAAAAAAATCATCTATGTCCCAAGTAAAACCAGAGTAGAGTTTGTATAGAGAAAACCGTGTAATTAATTTCTTGTTTTCATTTTTTATTTTCTAATTGCTGTTAACTAGCTGTTTGACTCACCTGTTACACAACAATATATAAATATCTTTTATTTTTTTGTATCTAATGTAAGCGTTTTGAATGTTTGTTCCATAAAGATATATGCAGTGTGAAGTCATTTTCATTGTACATACATAAATATATAATTGTTCTGTTCAGTGGAAATGGAAAAATTTATTGAAATTGTAATGGTCCCGAAACAAAAACAACAAAAAAAAACTGCATGAATAAAACAAGGAATAGTGAGAAACGAGAAAAGGGAAGTTTGGGGTTTTAGAAGAGAGCCAACCTGATGTTATTAGGTTGAAATTCTTGTTTTGAAGATGAAGGAAAAGGTTCCATTTGCCTTTGTGTAGGTTAGAGTGAGGACTTCAAAATACAGCCAAGAAGTTAGAGTGCAAGAACAAACATTCATGGTATCTAATGCCTGTTAGAGCAACAATCCTCAGGTGATTTATCAGATTATTTTTATTATTAAAATAAAACTGGCTTTAGTCTCAGGCATCTATGTCTAACTGGTGCGTGTCCATTTAAGCTGCCAGAATCTACATCCTCTCATCCAGGCTCTGTTGCATCATCAGCATCATTCAAACCCCACTCAGTAAAAAACTGCCTTTTACCCCAAATGCCTTCTTTTTTTCTTTTTTTTTTTTGCACACTGAAACTGCGTGTGCACACACACACACACACACACACACACACACACACACACACACACACACACACACACACACACACACCTGACGTTTTCTCAGCTAAATGCAACAAATGACATGGAAAGAGCCAGAACATCTACAAGCCAATTTGTTTTTTTTATTCTACTGAAATGTGTCTTACTCTAAAAGTTCTAAATGGAGGCGATAGGCTTTCTCACTGCTGCCTGAAATGGGTTTTCATGATCATGCTTTTTAAGGCCTGCCCTCAATGTGAAGCTGTTGTGATCTCAACATGAAGGCAGAGAGTATGTGTGTGTGTGGGGGGGTGTAGGGGTGGATACAATACATAATTGGTGGTGGGGGGGGTAGATGAAACATGCTGTCTTTGGTTTATAGTATGCAAAAAAAAAATAAGAGTCTGTTTCTACATATCAATAAGTGTTGTACCTTTGGTGTACATATACAAGTATAACTAATAAATGTTGATTCATAACTAAATTCTGTTTCATCGTTTGATTTTGTGTTGCTGGTATAATTTCTGAATGTTTACTTGTGGATGTCATTTAAATGAATATTAATTCCTTTCAAAGGCACATCTAAAATTTCAAGCCATGTGTTTGACTGCTTAGATCTACAGCATTGAGAGGATGTTTATTCTAACACGAGCCTGGTGGAAATTAAAGGTGTGTAACGCAGAAAAAAATGTATTCAATATTTCTGATTCTGAGTCACTCTGAGTTTTTCACACAGGCTGAACATGAAAATAGTCTCCTACACCTATCTCCTGCATTAGCTTCTGATAGAAAATAGACGGTAAAACTCTAGGATTAGAATATCCTGACAGATCTACATCACACTGTCACTTAACATTCATGGACGCATCTTGGCTCAGGCTGTTGCTGGTTTAGCATCCAGGAGAGAGCAGAGAGTCTTGGCTAGAAGCTAACTGTTAGCATTAGCAACTCCACCACACAGCATAACTCCCCCAGGCTTGTGTTAGTTTTAAAACATCAGAGTTGCAAAGCAAGTGGAGTAAGCGGTGGAGTCAAGTTGCTGTTATCCAATCAGAGGCGAGATGTCCAAACATCAAATCATAAATCTCCAAATCCTGCCTTCTGAAGCTCTCCTCTGATGTGGCAGTTTTCTAGTTAATGAAAATTGTTAGTGTTAGGCATTCATTCTTGCAGCCCACTGCAAATTTCTAAATGAGTGTTCCTCATCTTTATTATCAATAATAATAATAATAATAATAATAATAATAATATTGATAATAATACGTACTCTCAATTTGTACTGTTTATGCTGTAACGTCCAGCAAGGGCCAGTTTTTAGGTACAGTTTGACCATTCAACATCTGGTCAAAAAGGAGACACGAGACTGCATGTGTTCCCTTTAAATTGGCCTGCCTTCATCCCATCCGCTGGAGCTCAGAGCCTCTCTGCAGCTCTGAACACAGATAACAAATTGTCAGCAGTAATGTTCTCTCCTCAAGGTCCAGCTTCCCTTATCGTCCTACAGGATTCTGCATGCCTCCAAATAAGTGAACACTCGCAGCTCGGATCAGTTGCTAAATCAAAGAATGATTTCCTAAATTAAATATGAATGTTTAAAACTTCAATCAATCAATCAATCAATCAATCAATCAAAGCTTTATTTATAAAGCACCTGTCGGAAGCCCAAGGCGCTGAACACATGAGAAAAAAAGGTAAAAACATTAAAGTAGAAAACAAATGGGTAAAACGAGATGAAGAGACCAATGAATGCAGGGAATTGAAATCAACATAAATGAAGGCCTTACCCCGGCTTTCCACGGGAGCTGTCAGCAGTACGTTACAGCAGCAGCACGTCATAGCTGCTGATAGGAGCCGCTGTGGTCAACAGAACCTTTTCCACTGGAGCCGTCAGCAGCGCAAGTCGGCCGCGTCTCAGGAGCAGCATGTCGCTGCCTTTATGCGCCGGTTCTATTTTCTACGCGCGACGCCTCTGAAACGGGTCAAGTTCGACATTTTTGGGGAAGGAAAGACAGGAAATCGGACGCGGAAATGGAGAGAAGCTCCCGAGATTTTCAGAATAAAGAACGTACTGCCTTCCGGTTGCTTTACTTTAAAAAAAGTTACTAACTGTGCGGCCCGGTGAGAAGTTATCACATAGCTAGCGGTCTCCTTTGTTTTTCAGGTCCGTATTGGCGATTATAAAACGGACAGAACATAAAACACAAACCATGTTGTAGTTTTCTCCTGCTTGTTGTTGTGTTTACTGACAAAGTCACTCGTGTGACTTCGTGCTCTGTCGGTGACAGCTGCTCCCCTGCTGCTTCGCGCCTCGTGGGAAGGGCCAAGCAGCAGTTGATGCGAGCAAGACGTGCTGCTGCAGTAACGTGCTGCTGACGGCTCCCGTGGAAACCCGGGGTAACTCAAACACATGCTCAAACTCAAAACAGGGAACGCCAGGCGGAGGAGGTGGGTTAACTTATAAGCTAGATAATCATTAAATAAAGGTTTTTTTATTGCTACCTGTAATAATTATAATATAATTAAAATGTTTCATTAATCTGTGCTCAATGACTGAAGGTGGAAATGATTGTTATGTTATGATTACATTGACACACGTTTCAGCATGTTTATATGACAAGGTCATCACCATTTGCACTCACACAAGGACAAAGTTAAGTTAAGTTAAACACGTGACACATAGATAGCCCTTTACCCCAGATCAGAGCATCCAGTATCAAGGAAGGCGTGTTTCTGAGGTTGTCTTGGTAACCATTCCTCAACTTGTCAACCTCTGGTTGGCTACACAAATCATAACATGAGAACATTAAAACTGGATCACTCTGGTGATTCATCAGTTCTTGAGAAAGGCTTCAGACCGGCGGTCTGAAGCAAAACCTCTTTAACCCTCAAAGCTTTTGACACGTTGTCAAAATCTTTTTGCACCTGCGAAGCTGATACAGCAAACAGTTCCTGCAGAACGAGCTGATATTGTTTAGACTCCCAGACGCGCAGTTCCATCCGTCTGTTGTGACCTGGAGACATCTCTAAGACCGGTCTAATAGTGCTGCAGTTTCTTCTACGGACCTCGGTGCCTGGAAGTCCGAGGACTTCGACATTCCGGACCTATCACGAGGGTCTTCGAGTGGGTATGTAGATATGACAGATAGCGTCTGATGTGTTTTTGATAATAATCAACTCATAGCTTAACACAAATCAAATTCTTTTACATCCAGAACTCCGCTCTCCTAGATACGGAAGTTCTGATAACATCGCTTTCACACATAGGTTCATACATCACATCTAGTTCCATCCATCACAGTAAATGTTAGTTAACTTGTCATCTTTTAATTGTTGGTAAAATAAATTCTTACTTTTATAAACCTGACTGTTTTCTGAATCAAAACTAAGCGTGTACAATCCCCTAATAAACAAAGAATCCTAGAATCTTCTGATTAAACACACAAAGACCAAGCAGGTTGATATTCTATATTTCTATAGAGTATCACAGCTTATTGGTCATAAGCAGAGGTAATATCTATTGAGCTCTTAAAGCACTCAATTTCTCAAACCCTACAATGCATTCAGGATGTTGTGGAGGTGGGAACGGACCCAAACACAGGTGAGAAGATACACGATGTAAGCTGGCAGGTGTAAAATGAACTTTCTTAAGGAATAATGTCAGGTAGGTAAACAAGACGAGGATCTGACACAGTCAAGCACAAGCAGAGGGTTTAAATACATGAAGGTGATCAGGGAAACAGGTGGGTAGGATAATGAGGGGCAGGTGAGTTAAATTAACACTAACGAAGGAAGACAAGAGAACAGGGGCTGATGGAGCAGATCCTGACAGGATGGCAGTGACTGATGAGTGATTCAAACGTTGAAATGGGACGATAATTTATTCTTACTGAAAATAAAAATAAACACAGCAAACACATTTGTGTGTAACATGTTTTAACCGCAAGAAGGGCAGATTATGTCTACATGTCTTTGTCCTCTGAGAAAGACCAGAGCTTACTGCTGGTGGAAAGAATGGTGAAAGAAAACAAATGGAAATCAACACCATTATGAATAAACACACACACACACACACACACACACACACACACACAAACACACACACATATGTGTGTGTGTGTGTGTGTGTGTGTGTGTGTGTGTGTGTGTGTGTGTGTGTGTGTAAACCACACTGGCACAATCAGAGTGATGTCACTTAGGTAGTTTGATCCAGTTTTATTGCAACCAGAATTAAATAAAATATTAAATGTTTCAATAGGAGAAACTTGGAGAAAGGTCCAGTGAAAAATAATGGTGAAATCCCAAAAAGATGATGAAATCCATCCGCATTGTGCTTTCTTGTCTTGCTAGGATTTATTTATTTATTTTATTTTGGATTTTTTGAATCACTGAAGTTTGTTGTAAAGTTGTAATGTATTTACGAAGGCTTTATCTCCTGGAGTGCACACTAAAGAGTTTACTGCCTGCATTTCCAGCTGCATTGTCTAGTTTGAGGTAATTTATGCAACTGGGAGCCATCAATAAATGTTCCATCCATCTGTGTCCTGCAAAGATTTGTAGCAAAGTGCATTTGAAACACTTTTGTCATATCACATTAATGAATAAATTAGAAACAGAAATTATTATTTTGCCACAGTTTTTTTTACGCTGATTGAAGTTTCCAAAACATGCATTAATGATCCAAAAATTGACATTTTTTTTAAATAGAAATGTTTTTTTTTCAGTGGAGGCTAGGACTTATGGTCACAAATAAGCTCCAACATGTCTCATTAGTAAATATTTATGAATTTTTGTAGAATTAAGCTATAAAATCATATAAAATGTGTCTACAAATAAAACGTTTGTCTGAAAAACACCTTGGCTGCACACTTTTCTGTCCTGTGTGAAATTACTAGGTGTGCTCTATAATTGATGCCCGCTACAAACTGCTATTGTTCTCTTCTGTCAGTTTGACAACACTGCATGCATCTCCTTGCTGGAAGGATGCCAGTTGTATCTTTCAAAATGGTCCTCTTTGTCTCATTCTTTGCTTCCTGTGCTAACATGTTCTCGCATCCCAAACCCGGCGCCATGGAAACCTCACTTCCTCCTACGTGGGAGCAATGTAACATGCATTTCCTGTCACTCGCTTCCTTTTGTTCGCTCATCTAGAGAATAATCAGTCAGTGAACACGATGTGCCAGCACAGCTCCGTCTGCACTCGTTTATTTCATTCGCGGCCTTACAGATCCGCTCGGTAAAGTCTCGTTAAGCATGCCTACTCTAGTACATCTGTTTCTTCTGACATCAGAGGAAAGGGGAAATGAAACGTAAAAAGTGTGTTGATACTCGAAAAGGAGATGTTCGCCGTCACAGGCGGGACAACGTTGATATGACACACCATGAGATACATTCAAACTACGATAAGCTCAGTAGAAAAACTGCATTTTGTAACACACACTCCCTCTTTCACAACTCTGCCAGTGCCCTTTCACTACTGGTGCACAATCCAGTCTCGTATTTACAGCTAATCTCTACCACTCTCATAACTCAGATGAAATTTGCTTTCAAAGGTGATTAAATTCATTTAAATACCAACAAGTTATTACTATTGCTTCTTTTTTGTTCATAAATATTAACTTCCAAAACCAGGGCACACACTACAGCCTACATACACCATCAATATGATTGTTTCTATTATCATGAAATATTCAAAATATCAAATTCCAAGCTTGTTTTAGCATTAACATTTGGTTGTGCAATATTCGCAGAATTTTGGAAAATATACAAAAATGTGACTGCTGGAAAATCCTTTTACCTCAAAGGTAAAAATCAGATTAAATAAGCTTCAAAAACAGGAACTTTCCATTGCGTGAAAGTTCAAAGTACCTATAACGCGTTGCTAGCTATGTCAAGGTCATTTTCAAAGGTTAAGATTTATGTACAGAGACTCAAGGGAAAGAGTATAAAAGTGGAATAAGTTACAACTTCCAAAACCTCCACAGTCCTTTCTGCATGAAATGTAAATAAAACAATAATGCATCCTGCTCAATGGCAGCGTTTTGAAATATGGGCAGCATCAATAATCCAATAAGTCAAACAAAACTTAAACGCAGGATTTTGCTCACATTTGAAATTTCGATTAAGAACAAAACAGAAAGAGGAAACAGCAAGGTTCTTTTGGAGAGAATTAAATTAAAATTAATTTTAAAAATGTTATTACATCATCTTATTATGTCTGATTAAACAGAATGCATGCAAATTACTTAACAAGTAAAGTGGAAATTAAGGTAACACTACAGTAAGGGTCCCTTTGTTAATGTTACTTAGTGCAATATAAAGCTTTAATAAACTACTGAATAAAGTATGAACAACTGCTTAATCAAACTGTAATGCTACTGTAATTACTAAGCAGACACCTCCCTTTGTCCTAACCTTAAAGTTACAATGTATAGTTTTTGTGTAGCTTGTACCGTTAATCTCTGAAATATCCATCAAAATATTGTTGAAAATGAATTAAATGATGCAGAGTTGTTGGAAGATATTGGTGATTTTGTAAAATTGGATCTAAAATACATCAACAAGGGTCTAATGGGCTTGACACACGGGAGGCGACATCGCCTCTCCTCCATTCATTTTCAATGAGACATGCGCGACAAAGCGATAATCGCGGGTCTCCCTCCTACCAAACAAAGCGCGAAAAACGTGCGTGTGAAATTTTGCGCTCGTGCATGCGTCGTGCACAGGCGACCCAGCGACGCGATCCCAAAAAGTTGAAACATTTTCAACTTTTCATCACGGTCGCTCGGACGAGGACCAATCAACGGAGGTTTCATTCACTGACCAATGAGCGGACAGGATGCTCCGTACACCTCCGAGCAAACATGGAGGAGAAGTTGATTATTATTATGTTTTGTAGTAAAATCAGAAGTAAGATTTCACATAACTCTAGCAGCACCTTGTGAAACATCATATCTACCACTTTTTTAACTCTGAACCGCTTAAATAACCTTAATTCCCTCCAACCTGGCACAGCCAGGCAAAACAACGGAAGTTTCGATTTCGCCATGGAACAGAACACGTCAACGGCTTTGCCGCTGGCCGCTGCCGCGGATCACCTCCCGTGTGTCAGGTAATAAAAGCGACAGCGACAAATTTCACTGATCGCGGTCGTTTGTCGCCTCCCGTGTGTCGAGCCCATAAGTCTTTGGGCGACGCCATATTAGACGCAAAGTTTCCTTCTACGGGAGCCCGTGAGGACAAAACGCGTTCACTGATTTGCAACAGTTTGGGTGCAAAGCGTTCACCCTTCATAAACGTTCCTGTTTTACACATTTACCTGGTCGCTCGCTGCCGCTGATGAAAGGAAAGCTGATGTACTTGTCGTTTTGCTCGAGGTTGAACGATCTGATGAAGTACTCACTTAAAAATTGCGCTCCTATGAATTTTTGACCCTAACGGCCATCCATGGGTCAGGTCTCGAACACAAAAATACTGCTTGCTTGCAGTGATTTAGGAATGCGCTGCTCTCTATCACCAGGAAGAATACAACGTTACTTCAAGGACACTTAATAATTAACAATAACAGTAACGTTAATAAAGGGACTCTTATTGTAAAGTGTTACCAAAATAAAAGAATAAAGCACAATCCACACCTTTCGGTTATAACTAAATATTTCTCATGCTGTGCTGACACATCTCTAAAAACACTCTGTTACTCCGTTAACACATTCATATGCCTTTTTTTTTCAGTGTCCACTCAGTGCTGAAGGCAGTTTATAAACCCCAAACTTTTCTTGTTTCCTTTCTTTCTTTTTCGTCTCCTCCTTTGGTCTCATGACCCTCACGCCTGCTGGTCTTTATCCGGAGACTCCTCCAGTTTGATGACGGTGAACTCCTCCGTGTTGCCATTCTCCCGGATGTTCTCCTTGCTCATGAGGGTGACCATTTCTTGCTCCCTCTCCTGGTTATGAGGGCTGGAAGCTGCCACTGCCACCGCTGCTGCCGTCCCATTGCCCTCACTGCCATCTTTGCCTGTGATCATCAAGGTTTTCTTCTTGCCAAACCAGCTGCAAAAGCAGATTGGTGTAAAATTGTATATTTTAACAATGTCAAAACATGCTTTAATCAAAGAAGTACCTTTTTCTGTTGACGACAGCAGCACAAACCAGGAGGATAACAGCAATCGCCACAATCACCACGACGACCACCACCCAAGCTAGAAAGTAATGAAAACATAAAACTCTAAACAGAAGAATAAAAATGTTTTTGTTTTATTTCTCCAGAAGGAAATGACCCGACTGCGACCCCACACGGGGTGGTTTTAGTTATTTTAAAAAATCAACTCACTTGATGAATCGCTGCTCTTCTGTTTGTCATTCTCAGCTCCAACAGGATCCAGGATCCTGTTTTTGTTTTTAGTCTCATGACTCTGACCTGGATAGGAGTAAAGCGAAAGGTAAATTGTGTAAAACTCATAATCGGTCCTTTATTTATGACATCACGCCTTATATTTAACTACCTTTGATCATGTTCACAGCTTTATTAAGGAAACATGCTAGAAAAAACAAAACAAAGCAACTATCATTTTGATTTTCTTTCAATTTGCACATCTACTGATGTAGCTTGGCTTGATGAAATGTTGGACTTTGAATTTACTCAGATGTGTTTCTGCTAACACAAGGGGGCGTCCTGCGTTCTCAAAGCTACTTCAATCTTTCTGCAACTTGTTGCTTTTAGAGTTCATGATGAGCTGACCTGTTGATGTACCAGTGTAAGCAAGAAGGGGAGAAATTAACTTAAAAATCATCATTTATTGTGATCCTATTATAATTTCTTAAACATTAATGTAAGTTAAAAATGGCACAAAAGTAGAATTTTCTTTTGATATGATCTTCCTGTTATGCAGGAATATATTTAGAAATGATTTCTAACCTAAATGCTGGAAGCTTTTGTGATTTATGATCAGTTTTATTTTACTTTAGATTTAATTTAGGTCATTTTTCATTATTTTTATGCTTTAAATGTTTATCTCGTTGCATCTCTTACTTTTAGAATCTTCTGGCAGCCCATCAGGGACTGTTGAGTTTCCCTCCTCTGTCGACTGTCCAGACCCAAACTCATGTATGGCTCTGTACTGCTCTTCGGTGACCTTTCCCTCATCATGAACTTCAGGGGTAACCTCTGACCCCGCCGTATGCCCTGTAGAAGCAGTCGGTGCTGCCGGTGTGGTCCCACCTATTATATCCACGTCCGTCTCTTCCACCATAGGGGGGTCAGTCTCAGGGTCAAGCGTGAACTTGGGTTGTGTCGGTGCAGCCGTGTCTGTCTCTGTTGTGTTCGCTGCTGCAGGTAGGTCCATTTGTCCTAATGTTGTTTGAAGAAAAAACAATCATTCATCATTTTAAATATAATTTGAAAATCTGTTCTTTTAACCCTTTGATGCATGAATTATGAAATCTTCAACCATGATTTTTTAAACAATTTTTTTCATTCGTCTTTAGGTGTGAATGAAACAAATTTCAACAAATATTTTATGTAAAATTTTATAATTTACAAATAATTTATTACATGTCCACTTCAGTGGGCAGCGTGCATTCTGAACATGAAATATGTTGGCTTGGCTTACTGAAGTCCAAACGGAGGGGCTCAAATGCAATAAAGTCTTCAACAGCTGTGCTTAATAGCAAAAACAAATAAATAACAATTTTGAGTGCCTGTCCACTGTAGTGACCATTATGCATCAAAGGGTTGATCTTAACATGATGTTGTAACATCAGAACCCTCCTGCTGCATACTGGCATCTAAACTCTAAACACAGAACTAATTTATTATTATTATTATTATTATTATTATTATTATTATTATTATTATTATTATATTATATTATATTATTATTATTATTATTATTATTATTATTATTATTATTATTATTATTATTATATTACATTATTATTATTATTATTATTATCATGACTGACTTGGTGAATGAAATTCTTTGGAACAGTTCTTCTCAGGTCCAGCTGCCACATAAAAAAAGAAGACAACAACAATGTTAAAAGGACATTATAGAGCTTAGCCAGGGCAAACCAGCATTTTTCCTCATTTCCTGAAAAACTTACCTTCTTCATCATAACAGTAGGCATCATTAAGCTCTGTAAGATTTCTATTAGGACTGATGATGAACCCAGTCATGTTCTTTGCACAGTTTTCATGATGAGTGTGTCGGAGGATAGCTACACTCTCATTACTGGTCCAACCGTTCCTGAATGGATACAAAAATGTTTCTTTTCAAGGTTTCAATACAGAACATAATCTAGTTATTATATATATTATTATTTTCTTGTGATAAACGGCACCAATAAAAGTGAAAATGCTATGATTAACAAAAAACTTTGATGTCATTACATCCCATGATGAACAGAAGAGGATTGGGGCCACACAAAAAAAAAACATAAAAGAGAATTCTTAGATTAAAGACAGAATTCTGTTTCTTTTTTTTTCTTTTTAGTGGCCCTAATCTTCTTCCGTAATGATGAAACCAAAAAAGATTAAAATTTAACAAATCTAACTTAAGTGAATTTGGTCTCTGATAAAATGTATGTATCATGTATCGTCATGACACCGATACATGACAAGTATTGAATCTACATCTGACAAAAAGATGAAAATATTACAAACTGTACAACACTTCTAATAAAGAATGAAGAACTCTTTTAAAAGTATTCAATAACATAAACACTCCAGAACCTTTTGTGATGATTAAACAGCGGACAAGAGTCGTACCTGCAGGTTTCCATGTTTCTGTCATATGCCTCCTGGACCTGCTCTTCACTAGCCATTTCACTCTCCAGCTGCTCACACACCTTTTTGGCTGTTTCAAAGTCAAGAGTGTGACGGCCTATTCCCTCCGCCATGAATACACCTGCATAGCTGCAGCCACGGGAGTTCACTACAATAAAACAGAAAAAAAAACAGGACAATTTAATTCATTCACAAAATCAAATATTGGGAAATCATCTACATGGCCACAAGAACTGCGCACACAGTCACGTCACCACACGAAATGTTTCACCCATCAATGAAATATTTTAATTCAGCTGATGACAAAATAGAGAATAATTCACATTAATGATAACTTTTAGAGAAAATCACACAACAAAGGCAGAACTTTAACCAGATGGCCGTGCAAGAGAGGAAACACTTCTAGATTCATCCATTTGCTCCTGCAGGGTTAAAAAGTTCTGGTTCTCACCCTGGACAGGTCACCATTCCATCACAAGTTCACAAACAGCCACACACACACACACACACACACACACACACACACACACACACACACACACCCAGAGGGTAAATTTTAGAATCACTAGTTAACGTAACATCCATGTTTTTAGTTAGTAGGGAAAAGCTATAGAAAACTCCTGCATCTAAACTCCTCACAGAAAGCCCCCCCCCCCCCCCCAAACACACACACACACACACACACACACACACACACCCAGAGGGTAAATTTTAGAATCACTAGTTAACGTAACATCCATGTTTTTAGTTAGTAGGGAAAAGCTATAGAAAACTCCTGCATCTAAACTCCTCACAGAAAGCCCCCCCCCCCCCCCCCCCCCCCCCCCCCCCCCCCCCCAAACACACACACACACACACACACACACACACACACACACACAACGACCTCCACCGGGATTCAAACCTACTCAGAGTCATTTTCAGAATCTCAATGCATCTAGTATGGTCTCTCAGTCAAGATGTCACCAGGTTAAAAAATGATACAAGAAACGTTGACAGTGTGAAAGACATTATTTCTTGGTTGATTAGTGCTCCTAATGCAGCTGTTTGTCATATTACAACAATATGCAAAGTGTGAATTAATGAGCTTCTCAACTTTTAAACATTTAAAAGGAACAAAAGCAATGGAAATGTGTCTCTTCATGCATATGGAACATGTAGACTGTTAGTATGAGTGTATAATCTGCTGGTGAAATCATCAAAATGAGTAAAAATCGTTGGTTACTTATAAAAGAACACAAGATGATTAAAGTCTTATTTCTTTTCTTCAATGATTGACTGAGTTAAATTGAGTTGGCAACAAGTAACTATTGTTTTGCCATATTTGCCAGTTAATAAACAATATAAGCATGTTTAGTGATTTTTCAGGTGTTTTAAGTCTGTTTAGTTGGTCAAAGAAGAAACTCTGGTCACTTGTGCACAGCGTTTGTGACTTTTTGAGCCTATTTGCTTATGATTGACTGAGGTCTTTTGAGACATGGAAATAAAACAAAGGAAATGCAAAAAAGTCTTAGCAAATGATCCGATAAACTGGCAACAGTTGCTGGGCAACGAGTTCATTTCAAAAAGTGTTTGTTCTCCATGCTCAGGAACTCAACAGGAAATAAAGTGCAAGGCTTGATGCAGGAAAGAAACCTTTATAGAATTTAAACACCTGGAGATTTTTTATTAGAAGCAGTGGAGCCTTGGTACTGGGAAGCAGCAGGAGTCAATAGATTACAAACAAACAGCTCTCATGCTGAATATTGACTCTTGGTTGCTGGATAGAAGGAAACAACAAACAGACCTAAAAGTAAAATGGTATCTGGACTGTATTTGTATAGCACCTTCTTAGGGTTCTAACCCCCCAAGGCGCTTCACAATACAATCAGTCATTCACCCATTCACACACTAATGATGATAAGCTACATTATAGCAGACTGACTGACAGAAGCGCGACTGCCAATCACAACCACCACCGATCCCTCCGACAACCACCAGCAAGCAAGGCGGGCTGAGTGTCTTGCCCAAGGACACAACAGTAAAAGTATGAGGGACAGTGTGTAATAGCAATGGGGCAATAGGGGGCAGTAGATACCTAAATCATTGCAAGTAAGCAGTGTTTTTGTGTTGGAGTAAGGCCTTACCAACAGATGGCTATTAGGGTAAAGGAAAATATATATAAAGCTTGGGAGTGCAACCTCCAGCAAAATAACAAGAACATCTGATTGCCTGTCATCACTTGCAATGAGTGAAGAGGTAAATGTGTAAAATAACAACTTTACTAATGCTGAAAGTTTTCTAACCATTTGCTACAAATCAGTAAATGCATTCTGTCCTCACGGGCTTCCGTAGAACGAAACATGGCATCCAATATGGCGTCGCCCAGAGACTTAGACCCACTCCCATGCATTTTAGACCAGATTATATGGGTATATGTTATGAAACCGCCAATGTTAGTCAACAACTGGGTATCTTTCAATTCATTTACAGCAACATCTCAATGGATATTTCCAGAGATTAATAGTAAAAACTACACATTGTCACTTTAAAATTAATTATGCAGAAACTTTAATGTCTGAACATCCTTAACAACCTGAAAATCAGAGGGGAGGGAGATGGGCTAGTTCTGTAGAGGTGTTTGTTTCATGGAGAAAAATAAAAAAATGTCCCTGCATCACGACACTCATTAATATTTCTTGAAAACAAACACAAAACAAACATGTTTATTTGTCAGTTGCTGGTTCCGGTTCATTACCATGGTGACAGATTTTGCAGATGACGAAAGTTGGGTTAGTCACACAGGAACATCTCACAGGAAAAGGGAGGCACAGGCAGCTTGTTGCATGAAGTCAGTGAATTTGCAAAAAACTGAGATGCTAGCTGCACCTATATGCATTCTGAGTAAATAAAGTCAGAAACTTCCAATCTGTAACTCAAGTAGTCCTTTTTCAATAAATTAGTCAAGAAATGGGGTGAAACGACTGATTTCTGTTAATTTAGTCAATTTTTATTAATATTATTAAAGAAAATCAAGCAGCAGACCTCCGTAGTTCTATAAGTTTATATATTTCCGCTACAGAGAGAAGTTTTCTATTTTCCTTTCAGCTCTATAATTTTATTGTGGTAAATATCAACCACCATGTGGTTATGTTAGTCTCAGCTAAAGAGGAACCAAAAACCAGAGAAAAAAATAAATAAAAACTTTCCCAAGCCAGATCTGTGAACACGAGTTTTGTGTTTGAGCATTCGCACATCAGAAACCTAAACTACAGACAAATGCACACATGCATGTGCTCAACTGTGACATTTAGTCACATTTTAAAGTAAAAAAAAATGTTTTACTTAAAAAATAATCTGATCAAAAGCTTATCCTGTCTTTCCACCATGAATAAACAAAGAAGTGACAACAGGAAGTTTGTCTTGTTGGTAGTAGGTGTGTAAAAAATTCATACAGTAAAAAGTATCTTTATATTTTTAGGCCTTCACACAGATAAACACTTGGAAACAACTCCCAGCATGCACTCCTGCTGTGTCCCTCACAGCACAGGGGAACAAAACAAACGGTCTTGGCTTTGCAAACCTGCAGAGAGATCTAAAGGAGTCCCGCTCACTATCAGCAGGCTGAAAGGAGCTGACGAGGATCTGAGGGGTGTTCATTAGCATGCAGATGAACAGTCGTGGGTGTCTTTATATAGTCCAGAACCCTGTTATGCCGAGGCACTGACTCTCCCAAAAGCTTCTTTGTCACCTAATGGAGTTGAAACCAAGGAGACTGAACAGAAAGGGAGCTTTAATTCTCCATCCAGCCAAACCTCCAGCTGCATTTGAAGTCTTAGTTCACCTACTTTTTCTACTACTTTCTCTTTATGATGTGTTTTCTCTCCCTGCTCTCTGTTTGCCATTTCTGTGCCAGCAATAAAATGCAATTTACCCCCTGCACACCTGTGCACAGACAGATGCACACAGAAAAAGTGAGCCAACATGAGAGAGAGTGCATTCACATCCTCTCTTGTGTTTTTACAGGAAATGTTTCAACGTTTGTAACTATTGTGACGCTGAGATGTCATGCTGTAAGACAAAGCCTACTCTGTCCAATGACTTCTGTAGCAGCAGCAGCTGCTGCAGCAGTCCATCATGAGATTCTAAAGACCATCTTAGCTCACACAACTCTTCACTGACCTGCATTATCACATGTGAGCGAATTTGCTTTGCCAGCAAACTCATTTTTTCCCTCCACTGGTTGCAAAGTATGTCCCGCAGGTGAGTGGGAGGAGTGAAAGATGAGACCAGGTACCATTTCCAGCATTTAAGCTTTTTTTAAAGAGGAATACCTGAACGTCACAGAAAGGACTGTAAATGATTTTGTGATTTCCAAAGTGCTCGTGTAAAGCTCTGTGCTTTTCCATCGAACACAACAGGATGGAACTTGTTTTCTTTCCTTTTGCAGCCCCAATGCTCCGATTCAGAACAGATAATCTTAGATAATAACCTCAAGTGACCCTTCAGATCACTGACATTTAAAACGGAATACTCGTGTAAAGGAAATTGCACTTTTACAGATTCTTCCACTGCAAATACTGAAAGTTTCTGCTCATCACCTTGCGCACAGAATTCCATTACGCTTGGCTAAACAAATTATTGTCATTTGAATTACAGTTAAATATTAGAAAATGCTTCAAGTAATGAACATAATTTTTATTTTTAGAGTTGTAACATTAGCATAATGAGTGGAAGGTAAATCGTAATGTTTCTACAAAATCAATTTAGAACTAGAAAACCAGTAAAGGGGAAAAGCTCTTTTCTGCCTTTAGTTTTAATGCCAGAGCTGCAGAAACTTCCAGATCCCTAGATACATATTGGTGCAAACATTAATAATTAAGCATAGATGCAGTGACAAAACCTGAGTGAGAATTTTCAGCCTTCACAAAATTGTAGTCATTTATTTTTAATGAGTGGTTCTAATGCCATGCGGTCTCAATTTAACCTTCAGCCGTTAGCATGGAAGGAATACCAAACTGCGATCAAAATTACAAAGTACCTGTGGAAAGTTGGTGTAAAACACCACTGAGAAAGAAAATATAGATTATCTCTAGAAGTTTCAAGGACATGATATAAAAGTCGAGTGCTGTTTAATTGGTCGCAGTCTTTGTGTCCTTGGACAAGACACTTCACCATCCTTGCCTGCAGCAGCCTTGCCTCTGTCTGTGCTCCCGAGATTGGCTGTGGTTACAATTGAGCTCATCATCGCCAGCGTGTGAATGTGTGAACTTGGGTTAATGACTGTGTTGTAAGCCAGCAGCCATTGATACTCAAGCCTTACTGCAGGCCTTGAGAGCTGGTGTCCAGCAAGCTTCAGTGGTTTCTCTGGTCCATAACACTTGATTCAGTGGTTAAACCACCTGTGCAGCAGCTAATCAGGCTCTGCGGAAACCTGTTAATGACCTACTAATTGAGATCAGGTGTGTTAAGGCAGAGTTCAAACCAAAATGTGCCGGATACCGGCCCTTGAGGCCAGGAATTGAATAGCCCCGCCTTACTGGTTGACCAGTAAACCATTTGTATTGCAGAGGTCTAACAGTGTACAATGGGAAATGTGTACGGAGGTATATGTGGTGCAATAACTTTTGTGTTTTGTTCCTGTGAATTTAGGATTTTTCTGGATTTTTCTCTGTGAGTTCAAGTTCAGTGAAAAAGCACAAACATTATTGCACCACATTTACCTTGATACATGTGTAATAAGAGCACTACTGATCAAAGCAAACTGACTGATACACTAGTCAGTTCAAGGTCAAGGCCAGCTTTATTTATATAGGATATTTCCTACAGCAGGTGCTGGTGAAGGTTCTCAGCCATCCAGGTGATGGTAAACCAAAAGGGTTCAAATGAAGGCAACTTGCTTGAAGACGTTTCGCTTCTCATCCAAGGAGCTTAGTCAGTTCTGACTAGAATTGCCTACAGCAGGGCTATTCAGTTCTGGGACTCAAGGGCCGGTATCCAGCATGTTTTATTAGTTTCTCTGGTCCAGTACACTAGATTCAGTGGTTGAATCACCTGTGATGCAGCTCATTAGGCTTTGCAGAAGCCTCTAAATCACCTACTAATTGAAATCAAGTGTGTTGAAGCAGGGTTAAAACCAAAATGTGCTGGATACCGGCCCTCAAGGCCCGGAGTTGATTAGCCCTGTCCTACAGCAACTGCTGCGTTAAGTGCTTCACAAGGTGAAATACAATCAAATCATACAAATATACAATGCTAAAAGTACAGGGGAAAAAGGAGAAATCAAAAGTTAATTAGAATGTTAAAATGTAGCACAAATGTCTAATTTAAACATATAGAAAAGCCAACTTGTAAAAATTCAATTTAAGAAGCATTTTAAAATAACTCAAGGTTGTAGAAGGTTTAAAGTTGTCAGGAAGAGTATTCCACAGCCTAGGACCGGCCACAGAAAAAGCCTTGTCACCTCAAGACAAGTTTTGTCCTTGGAATCATTAAAGTATTCTGTGTGCTCTATCTCAGGGCTCTAGTATATGTTGTAAGCATTTTGCAAGGTGCAAGAGAGACAGCAGTAACAGAATAAAACGTGATGAAATCCTTATCGGAAAATCTTTAGATCAAAGCAAGTTTAAGCTGATTCATCCATTTATCTAAGGTTGTTGCAGAAGTTGTGAGATCATTAAGTGTTCAATGGGCAGTATCATCTTGATAAATAACAAGAAAATGCAAAAAAAAAAAAAAAAAAAAAGAGGATCCAAACATTCGCCCTTGGGGCACTCCTGTAGCATGGATACGTTTTTGGTCAGAAAACACTCAGAAAAAACAAAACAAAATAACAAAATGTAACAATAAACACATTAAAGACTAAAGAACATCATTACGGTTCTGGTCACAAGAAGCTCCTCGTTCTACAATCCAGAATATGTCATGAAACCCTTAAGGGTTTTCTGCAAATATACATTCTTACAATAATTAGCTCTTATAATGGGAGCCCTGGTCAAGAATACAAACACGTGCCTCTAAGTATGTGCAACCACAAGCAGTCTTTGTCAAGCACTGGGTCACTGGGCCTCTGGCCGCCCTTCATCTTGAAACATGACACAAGGAGGGGTGCAGCGCCAAGACAGAAAAAAAAGTCCTTGTTTGCAAGACATCCATCTGGCAACTTAACTAGAGTTTGTGTGTTTAGGAAATTCATGCAACCACAATTTTGTGGTTATGGTATTTAGTGAACTATCTTGATATGACAGTTTTACATGAAGTTTTCAACATTTAACAGCTCAAGCTATCATATTAGATAATCATTAACAAGGAATTTGGAAGACCTAGAACTTTCCTTATCTGTTCATTATGATCATCTCTTACATTAATTATATTAGAGGGTTTCTGTCTTTAATTTTTCAGATACTTTGCAGTGATTTTGTATCAAATTATCAAAATTTGTTAATGGAAAGTTTGGTTTAGCAAATGTCATTATGCCATTTGCAGTCATTCTTGTTTTAAATATTCTATTTGTGAGCCAATTTAACATTTTCCCCAGTCAATTTACAATGCAGGCAAATGGATGCAGCCAAAAGAAAGTCTGACCTGGCTGACCTCAAGTTTATTTTCACACAACCCCATGCAGTTCAAAACCCTGAATGAGCGTAAACCACTGTGGAGCATTTAAAGCTGTCAAACAGCTCGTGCGACACATGCTCACACACAAAGCACACACTTCTGTTCTGAATACACAAGCAGCCAAGAGGGGCAAACACAAAAGACTGGTACAAAAATGCACAGCCCTCCTTCACCCACATGTACTGCACCTGAGGTGTCTACTGGGTTTTCTCTTATTTGTCTTTAAGTCCGGCTCACATTTCAATAATATGAGTCTGATTGTTGTTTGCCGCCTTGCCAGCGGGGAGTCTTTATGAGCAACTCTTAAGGGAGCTAGCCAGACAAATCCTCGACCTGTTAGAATCAGCTTCACCTCTAGAGACGGTTGCTCTAAGCAACAAATCACAGAATAAAAAAACTCAAACATCTCAAGGAGACAAAGAGCAGAATTTAAAAAAGGCAGCGATGGAGTGAAAAGAGGGACGGCTGAAGAATTTCTTTTGTGGCACAGATTAAAACATTAAATGTTGAAGAACAGCAAAAAATTATTGATCAAAGTCATAAATCTGAACGGATATGCTTCTGAAAGCTCTGATAAATGATGATCAGTCACCAACGTGTGTCTGAGACAGAGCATGAGGATGAACGCTTGTCCTCTTTGTGTCTGTCAGGCGTCTGAGACAGACCAGACGTAAGCCTGTCTGCACCGTTGTAGCACATGCTCTCTTGCCGGCATTCACTCATCCATTCAAACAGCAGCATCCTCAGCTGAGTGCAGCGCTTCTCTCTCACAAGCTTCTTTTTCATGAGTACTCACTTGTGTGTTCAAATAATATATAAATACTGTCTAGTTCTAAAATGTGACGACAAAGGAACATTTCCAGACACGGCAGCATAGTTTGTATAGAATAAGAGGCAGAATAGTTCCTAAAACAAAGAGCCATTCACCAGGGAAAGGAAAATCTCCTCACCTTGAAGTTTATCCGACCTAGAAGAGGCCAGTAGTCCAACAAGGACCCCCAGGAGAAAAGTCCACATCCTGGACAAAGCGTCTGGCGATGGCTTGGCGAGCAACTGGGTGTAAAGGTGTGCACCTCTTCTCCTCCTGTCTTCCTTCTACAGTACCAGCAGTGATGACTGGTGAGTGTGTGTGAGTGAAAGAGAGTAAATGAGTAGGAGAGATAAAAAAAGGAGAAACCTCTGGGTGTCTGAGAGCTGATTCAAAAAAATGTAGCCCCCAACTTTCTCTGCCTGAGAGACACAGAGACATGTGGCGCACACATAGAAGGGGAAGGGTGCTTCATGCAAGCACACACACCCTTTTGCCTCTCCCACACTTGCCCCACCTCCCCTACCACTCCACCTCTCACACACACACACACACACACAAACACACACACACACACACACACACACACACACACACACACACACACACACACACACACACACACACACACACACACACACACACACACACACACACACACACACACACACACACACACACACACACACTTTCACCCCCTCTCATGCACTTTTTCTCCCCTTTTTTGCCTCTATGGTGGTGGTAAAGGAGGTGATCCCTCCTCCAGTCTGGTTTCTTGTCCTTGTCTGCCTCCTTCTAACTTTCCTCCTTCACACCCCCACTTCCCCTTACTCCTGGTTTTGATGGCAGCACTTTCGGAGAGCCCATCTGCTCTTTTGTTCAGTGCTTCCTCTGCTGTCAGGTCATCCCCTTTTCTTATATCAGCTCCCTTGAAGCCTCTGTCCTTCTCATTCTGTCTCAAAGTCAATCTGTGCCACAGGTAGAGAAACGTCAAGTTGCTTTAACAACTGACATTCTGATCTGCATGGAGGTTTATCTAACGAAGCCTACAGCTTTGAAATGACAAAAAACACTACTTTATTTGCAGAGTTCTTCTCTATACTATCAGATATCTCAACAACCACTTCCTGCATGAAACATCTGCCTCTGTTATTGTAACGGGGCTTAACGTTTCACACCACCAGGTGTTGCATAGGTCTCTCAGGCTTTGGGAATCCCTTGTGTTCATCAGATCTTTTGTCATTTGTTTGTTTTAAAATTCAGTGACAACCCTTCCAAAAAGCTCTGAAGATTGTTCGATGACCAGTAATTTTACAGTCATGGGAACGGCCAGGGATGAGGGCATACTCCAAGTGGAGGAGTTGGGGTCTTGTTCATGAGTGAAGGAAAGATGGAGCAGGAGATTGAGCGGTGGATTGGTGACGGACATTATACACATTTAGAGTTATTTTGAATGTTTATATGATGTAATGCTGTCGTTGACAGTATTGCAAACATTTTGTGACAGATTGCATCATAAATGAAATCTACAGTATCATGGCTTGACTGTTTTGAGGAAGAAGAACCTTCCTTTTCCACCAATCCTTATATGTTGATACTGCATGTGTCATGGTCCGTGGTGAGCTGCCTGTCAGTATTTGTGTTTGTCCTCTGAGTCTTGTCTGCAGGTGGGCTGATCCTGTCATGAAGACCCAGGGATTTAAGGAGCAGTGTGACACAACACCACGCCAGATGATTACTCTGTTTTGGGTAGCTCTAGCCACTTGACCTGTCTCCTGTTTGTATTTTGAGATAACCAGTCAACCTGGCTCCTGTTTGTATCTTTGAGATAAACCGTCACCTGAAAGCCTCAAACTACCTCCCCTGTTCTCCTCCAGATTTTCCACTCCACCTGCCCTCTTCACCATACCAGCCTGGATTCCCGCACTCCAGCTCACACTGCTATTCCCCTGGCCGTTCACTCTCAGCCGCTCACCTGTCTTCATCAGCATCCTCACCAGCATCACCTTCGGACAACCTGTGCTTCGCTCTCTGGACCCCTTAAGTTCTTCCAGACCTGACCAAGCCCCCTCCTTATTTCTGATCGCTCCTGGAATACAGCAAGACCCATCTCAGCCAGCATATCCACCAACCATCCTTGGAACTTACTCTGCCTCTTTCCCCAGAAACCCACCTCGGAATCCTGCTACCTTTACTATTATTTTTTCCCCGTGTCCTGTCTGGCTTTGTAGCAAACAGAATTGATTCCATGTTGTCGTTCTTTTTTAAAACACAGAAACGGTTTTGTTACCTGTTATTGACGCTACGTTTCGCCGACGGCTGCCAGTTTCTTCAGGCTGATGCTGATGGTGGCGCGTCACTTCCTTTGTTTATCTGCGGGCAGCAGAGGACGTTGTCGCCATTTACTGCCCGCTCTCCCCTCTCCGACGATGCAGTCCCATGCGTGGTCCAGCGTGTAAACTCCGTCATCCCTGTTCATGGTTGCTTAAGAGAAAACCATATAATGGACTGGGACAACACACGGATCATAACCACTGAAAAACAAAAATACAAAAGATGGATCGAGATAAGGAGATGTGGATGTGGGAAACTTGATGAGGAAATATAAAATCAACATTGTTTAACTGAACAATCACACGATAATAAATCATAGTGCATTAAATGCCCACCATAGCCTTAAGACATGTGTTGAACGTGCCCAAGTCCATACTTATGAGAGCACCATGTGAGCACCTGTGTGCGTACCCGCGCTTGTTTATGTAAGTTTTCTCTATAGGAGCATCCAATAGAGAGTGTGAGGGGCCACAGATCTGCCCCCTAAGTCCCAGAGATCCAGGAGCTGCCCCAGAGCACAGGAACCCCAGGGAGACTGCGACCAGAAAAGCCCCCGCCCCCCTCGAGAGGTGCAGATGATCGCCCCGGGGGGCCACAACTAGCAGCCGGCAGAGTTCCAGGAGATATCGGTGGCAAGCCCACAGGCCCGCCCGCAGCCTCCCACCCCCTAGTCGGCCAAGCCCGGGACCCAGCGAGCCGGGACCCAGGGGCGACCACCCCCGCCGGGGACCCAGCAGCGCCCAGGGACCCAGACCCCACCAGGCAGCCACCGGGATTAGTCAGGCAGATGCCAAAAATCTTAAACTCCCTGACCCGGGAGCCATGACCCAGGCAGACCAAGGCACCGCACTCCACACCAGCTGTGGCAGGGAGAGGGGAAAATAAGATCTATATCATCACAAGAAGTCCCAGGAGAAGGGAGGAGTCAAAGGCCCCACCTGACATATACAGTCATACACAAACAGTCACACGCTCCCTCCCTCATGCTCACACATACACATACAACCAAAGACTTACAAAAATGCACACCGGACACCCACTCATGCTCCCCATACACAACCTATTCACTCTGGTCCCGGTACTGCTGCACATGGGGTACAACCATTACCGGTTCCCAGAGTTCGACCCTTTCTGCTGGGGTGCTGATGAGCAGGCTCCCCCACCCAATGCTGAGCACAGCAACCCACCACCCCAGACCCCTACTGGATGGCCGGATCTCCCTCCTAGCCTCCAGCCCCAGGAAGCCAAGCGACAACAGAGGTGTGCTAAGACCCCTAGTCTCCCTCCGCCTGCTCCAGTATGGTGTTAGTGAGTGTTGATGAGGTGTATTCCATGGCTGTGGTGAGCGGGCAGTGCGGGCATCGGCTGGCCTATGCCAGCTGATGCCACCACACCACCCCACTTGCACCCACAGCCCTCAGTGTCTAAGTGCAGTTTAAAATTGGAAGTAGGCACTGGCACTTGGGATGAGGCTGAGAAATCCCCCTGCCAAATGCTGTTGAATGTGCTCACTCCCAAGGCCCTAAGTGTGTGTTTGCGTGGAATGTCGTTGGTGGAAGTGTTTACGGTGCAAATAAAATTAGGGGGCCGGTTGCCACAGGAATGCGGAAATGGGGTTCATACCCGCACTCCCTGACTTGTCCGCCCCCCAAGGTCCTATGTGGATGTTTGTGTGATGATGTGAGAGAACAGGAGAAGAGAAATGTGTGGGGATGGGGAGGAATGGCTAGTTGGGCTTAGCCCTCCAGGGAGCAAGCTCCCACACTGGCCCAAATTGGCACCTCTGTTGTCAAAATGCCACCCAGAGCATGGAGACCTCAGCCCATCCTGCCAGGGCCCAAAGCAGCAGTATCACAGAGCCTCACAGAGTCCGAGGGCACCAACCCAGCTCCACCCCAGCAGAATATCTATGCCCATCCTTGCATTTGCACAACTTCCGGATTGTAAAAGACATAGGACATCCAGGTAAGGTTGGGTCCTCCCCCTCCTGGACTTCCCCCTCCCCTGTGATGGGACAGCAGAGGAGCCAAGATCTACCTGAGGACCCTGAACCCGAGTCAGGCACTGCTGCATGTTCCTGCCTTCTCCCCGACAGCATACATGTCAGGACCCGACCCCCAAGGCCCCGCCCAGATCCCCCCACGGGGCTGGCCACCCCCACACCTCAAGCCCCCAGGCCTCCACCCAGACCCGCCCAGGGGCAATGCAGCTGCCGGGCAGTGACCCATGGCCACCGCCAACACCTCCAAGGGGCCCCACTCACAACCGCCAGTAGTCCACCCCCCTAGGCAACCCAAGCACCTCCAGAGGGGGGAAACGGCCCCCCAGTCCCAGACACCCCCAGTGAACCCACCTCCAGGGTACGTCCAGATACTCCAAACTCAGACCCTGCACCCCCTCACCTACATCATCCCGCAGGACAATATCAATGGTCCCCCGTCATCGCATGTGATGAAACCGATCAAAGGAGCCCAGAGAGATTGATTTGAAGTGGAAGCAGAGGCTGTATCAAGTGTAATATGATCTAACAAAAGATTTCTATACTGGTTGATGCAAAGAGTATCTCTATTTTTCCAATTCAAGAGAATAGTTTTCTTAGAGATGCACATGGCAGTCAGAACCACGTGAGCCAAAGATGTTTCAATCAGGACATCGTCCAGGTTTCCCAGTAAACAAAGGGAGGGGGCGGTTGGGATATGACATTTCAGACACTGCTACCTTTACGCAGCGCCTTCAGTTCCCGTCTCTTTTCCTTTAATTCCTATTTTATAATAAATCCTTAATTTACTCTTATCTTGTTTCCGTGTATTGATTCTGCATGTCGTGGGTCAGAAAACTGCCTCCCAACGTTTCAGCACGTAAGTTTGTCACATAGCACCAGCTTATCCATCAGCCTGATAAAAAAATGGATTAACTTTGTTTTATAGAAACAAAGAAGGAGTAATGTAAAGAGTGAAGTATGGAAATGGGTGTCGCATACAAGTGATGCTAATTCTAAAAAAAAACTGAAAAACAGTCAATCTTTGGCAAGAAGTATTTTGGGGTTTACAAGAGCCCTTTTTACCTCAGCTTGATCTTCCTTTGGCTACTGTGATCTGAGCATGAACATATA